ATAGTGATGTAAGTAAGTTTTTACCTTAGAAAAAATTACAAGATTTAGAGTTTTGAAATTCAATCCAGCCAACTCATTAACAGTATTTCCACTAGAGAGCCTGCACCTTCACTTTATCATATCAGTATGAAAGTACCATCATTCCCTGCTTTGTGGTTCCTCCCAAGCCTGGAATGAACGAATGAACACCATGCAGGGAAGCCACTAATACTGTGCTAAATAAGCTCACTGTCTAGGATCTCAGATCCTATATATAAGTCTCTCCCCTGGAGTATAGTTACAACTTAAAAAAAAAAAGCAAGACAAGAAAAGCTGACACCTAATCAAAGAGGCTGTGGGGGGTGAGGGGATGGATGTTAAAACCATGATCCTGTGGTGAGTGGTCACTAGAAGCAACTCTGCAAATCTGACTTAATTCAATATGTGCTGTGCTGTGCTTAGTCGCTCAGTCATGTCCAACTCTTTGCGACCCCATGGACTGCAGCCCGCCAGACTCCTCTGTCCATGGGGATTCTCCAGGCAAGAGTACTGGAGTGGGTTGTTATGCCCTCCTCCCAACCAGGGATCTTCCCAACCCAGGGACTGAACCCAAGTCTCCTGCATTGCAGGCAGATTCTTTACTGACTGAACCACCAGGGAAGCCCTAATTCATTATGACAGTCAAATTGCACGCACTCTAACATCAGTTTGAACAGCAAACATGAAGATCTTAGCTCCAAAAACTTCTTTTAGGGTCAAGAACAAGCAGTGCAAAAACTCAATACCTATTAAACTTGAGACATAGCCCAAAACTCTGCTTGCAGCTGCCAGGTGATGCTTCCACTAGAGCTGAAATGCTTCACTTGAGCTCCGTTAGAGGCATTTTAACAGTCCAACAGTGTTGAGGGGGAGGCTAGATGCTCAAGCCACTGTGTGGTGACCAGCCCTGCCGAGCTCCACCCACATAGGGAGCAGTAGGAGAGTGCGCGGAGGTGTTCACACTCGACAGCCCATGGCGGGCTAGTAGAAAGAAATGCATTTATCTATCCAGCTCTTTGCTGTCTGTGCTGTCCAATCTCTAAAATGAAAAAAAAGGGGCAAAATCTACCTTTCGCTTAAAAATTTGAGGCCTGCTGACCTGGAATATAACCTGAATTTCTGCTTATCTGGACTAACTGACGTGGGAGGTTGGGGGGGCGGTGACAGGGAGCTGAAATGCAGTCCACTCTGCCTGGAATTCAGTCTGGAGGTGCTGGGCACTCCAACAGGGAGACTTTGAGGAAAAAAATCAGATACAGTTTATTGAGCTCTTAACAGCTAACACTATTATATTACCTTCAGCAAGAAAAACTACTGTTTAATAGTTTCTTATAGGAAGGGAGGCCTTCTAGGAATGTAGTTTTTAGAAGTCTTATCACAAACCTAATTTTGTGTCCTAAGGCTGAGAGAACAAAACGGATGGAAATAGGGCCTCTCCTGGAAGGAGGGGCGAGGCAGTGACGGGTCAGGAACAGCGGGGATGGATGGACGGACCTGTGGAAGTCAGACACTGACAGCAGCTCCTCCTTTCACTCTGCGAGCCATGGCAACTCGCCTGACGTGGTTCAGCGCTGCTCAGGGAGCGGGGACTCCTTAAACGCAGCTCCATGTTCGTCCTGACAAGACCCATGAGCCTTGATTTCTTCTGCATCTTAGCTGACACCATCACAATTACAACAGAATATATTTTAATATTTAATTATTACCCCTTGACATTCTTTTAAGCTAATTAACTGATGACGGCTGCTGGTCTAGTCCCCACGCCCAACATTAACATTCTCAAAAACTTCCTAGAGGGAGAAGCAGAAAAATGTCACATCCACCACGAGCTTCGCCAGTGCTTCTAATAATTTCTGACATTGAAAAATAATTGGTAGTTTTGGCAGATATGATAGCAGGCAGAGATGGCTTGAAGTCTGGGTCGTGGACACAGGAGGATTTCAGAATGAATATCAAGCCTAACAAGCTATCAGTTTCTTATCTAGGATAACAGGAACAAATTAACCTTAGGCAGGGAAGATGTGACACAGGTGTGGATATCAGGTTCCCAAAATGCAGTGCTGCCCTGGCTTAAAAGGTCCAGCCCTGGAGGACCTTTGCTTCTGCACCGTCACACAGAGCGGCAGCATCACTGCCACTGCATCCACGCCTATAGATCAGTGACAGCTGAAATTAACTTGAAATACACCACCCAGGCCGGGGACATTTCAGGATGGAAGAGAGGTGTGGCACGTGTAAACCAGGAGAGATGGCCAGTCTGAAGACTCCCGGTGTCCCGCCCACTCTTCCAGGGCTTCTCTGCTCAGCACTGTCACCATGTAAGCTGACGTTTAGGACATTAGAAGGGTACTGTGTCTGCGATGCTGCCATTAACTCAGTCGCCTCTCATCCTCACAGGTCAATGGATTAATCTCCATGGAGGAGGGGAGGGGTGAGGAAACAGGGGAGGGCTCCTGACTCAGTGTGCAGAAGTTTAGGCTGAGGCAGGTGTTACTTGGACTTCAGTGTCTTTAAGAATGCCATTGGACAGAGCCCCTGTACAGAGAAGCCATGTTCCAGTAAAATAGTTGCCAAGTTTACCCCTACAGATATACAGAATAACTCAGGCAACCCTTTTAAAGTTCACTCCTAAGAGTCAAAATTTCCCCCCAAATGCACAATAGATTTCAATAAAAACTTAATCTATGTTTTAAATGGCAGCACCACAAAGTTCCCCAATAAAAACAAAACAAGCACTAACTCTGACTTCTTGTTTTGCTCAGTCCCTCAGTCATGTCCAAATCTTTGGGACCCCATGAGACTACAGCATACTAGGCTTTCCTGTCCTTCACCATCTCCCAGAGCTTGCTCAAACTCATGTCCATTGAGTCAGTGATGCCATCCAACCATCTCGTCCTCTGTTGTCCCCTTCTCCTCCTGCCCTCAATCTTTCCCAGCATCAGGGTCTTTTCTAATGAATCAGCTCTTCACATCAAGTGGCCGAAGTATTGGAGCTTCAGCATCAGTCCTTCTAATGAATATTCAGGATTGATTTCTTTTAAGATTGACTGGTTTGATCTTACAGTCCAAGGACCAAAAAAATAAATGAAACTAAGCATGCTATGGGGCTCCCCTGGGGTCGCAAAGAGTTGGACACGACTGAAGTGGCTGAGCACACAGGCACACTATGACTGTATGGACCACAGTAATGCCTTGACAGGATCTCAATTTTTACTGTCATCTTTGCTGTAAAGGCTACAACTTTCTGGGTTGTGCTCTTCATGATCTTAATGCTGCCTAGCTCTCTTTCTCTTGACAATCAATTGAACATGGTGGACCCTGAAGTCTGGACAAACACTCCTCTTCAAACTGCCACCAAAATGAGAAAGACAAGCAGAAGACACCAGCAGAATGAAACTGCAGCAGAAATACAGAATTGAACACAGGGGACAATAATTTGAATGGGAAACAAAAGACATTTCCAAGCAGACTGTTTGGAAATGCCTCATAACGGCTCGTCTCCAATACGTACGGACAGAGGGGGAAGATACTAGGAGGGAAACACTACAGGTGGGAGCATTGCTTGTGTTACATGCTCTCCAAAGGACAAGTGTTTCTCAGCGAGTCACCTCTGGGAGATAGTGGAGGACAGAGGAGCCCTGCGGGGTGCAGTCTGTGGTGTCACAAAGAGTCAGACATGATTGAGAGACTGAACAAAAACAACTACTTGGCGAGGGCAAGTCTTTCACTAAGGATACAAAAATGAAAGCAGGAAGAAGTGTTAGTATGAGTTAAATTTCACATTTTGTATTTCCTATTCAACTTCTCAGAAATATGCACCTTTTCAAGGTGCAGGCATTACAGTCCTGTTAATTAGCACCAATCCCTCAGATACTTATTTAAAAATCCAAGAACACTGTAGCTCTAGAATGTCTATTTTTGATTTCAGGTTTTAAGACCAATTAAAGTCTAACATCTCTTAACAGCCCACAGAAAAATACCTGTGTTATAAATATCAAGGATCTTTGCAGAGAGAAGGCATTCCCAGGCTCTGGTCGACCCAGCCACATACACCATAGCACCAAGGCTCAAGGGTCCACATTCTGAGCTGTCCAGCTCTCTCTAGAAGTCTCTAGACAGACTTGGGATAGAAATGAGATGTCTGGACATGTCAACATGACAAATAGTAAGGGTTTTAATACTAGGAGAAAATAAAGGAGAAAATATTCTTTTTCCTCTATGTACAAACATCTCACCTGGTCAGCACAGTTAAGTCTGATGAGAGGTGTGAGGCAGGTGAACAGGAATACTATGACACCCTCATACACATGGAGGAGTTGGGGCAGAACTGACGACACGGGAGAGATCGTTAAAAAATAAGCCACAATTACAAGAGTCACCTGATCTTCCAACACATTACAACTAACTTTAGTCTTGGCTTTAACCTCTTAAAAATATATAGTTTTAAGAAAATGGTTTCAATATGCACAAAAAAAAACTGGTGGGATGCAGATCTGAAGCTATTTGTTGAGAACAAAATATCAGGCCCACATATTGTTTTAGATATTTGAGTATCTGCTGGACACTGTGTGCCATGTACCCGGTAACTAAAGCCTCCTGGAGCCACCTGGCCAGGATTAAAGCCTAATTCGGCCCAGCGAGGCCCTTAACCCTTACCCACACTCCCTAGAAGAGGTCACTCTGTTAGGAAACAACAGGGCATCCGTTGTGTTCAAACTGCTTTAGTCAAGACACTTCAACACTTGAAAAATAAGTGATAAGGAGTGGGGGCTAACATTCATCCCATAATGACTTAAGATCTCTGCACACAGCCACTGTACAGATATCCTGTAGTCCCTGGAGATGGAGGACACACTTCGGCAGGGAGTTCCCAGGCTTACTGACCATCACAAGGGCACCTTTCCACTTGTGGAGGCCAGGCTTGCGCCAGCGTGTCCCAGCTCTTCAGGCTGGATGACACTCTGTCTTCCCACCATGGACACTCAGAAGACAGGAGAGTCGCAGAAAGGGCAGGGGCTTTGTAGTAACCTCTTGATCCAGTCAGGGTCTGCCAAAGGGAGACAAGCAGTAGTTAGCACGCTCTTCAGAGAAGGCAGTCAAATGGGACATGCCCTGGGCGACCACAGTGTGCAGAGGTGGGTATTCTGGCCCCACTGCTACCCTACACAGAGGTCCTCACTGTAACATTCCAGACGAGGCTGGACTAAATCTGTGGTTCCCAAAGTTAAATGTGTGATGAAACAGGAAAATAAGGGTAACGAATGAGTGCTTCTCATACATGGTTAATGTTAAAACTTACTTTGAAAACACTGTGTCAACACTTTCTCTTCCTTTTACAGAACTCCCTGGCCTGCGAAATGCTCTGCCTACTGGTGAGTACTCTCTAGAGCTCAGAGATTCCCACTCTCCCGAGGAGCTGTATGCGGCTCAATGCAAAGTCAACTGGCAAGTGTGCTTGTTTTGAGTTTGTTCCCATCTTTCCTGATTTCCTGTCTAAACTATAAACCAATTCTCAATTGCAACAAGTGTTTAAAAGTCCCCAAAATTTGTTTCAACATAATGCAATCAGAGGAGACAGGGGGAGGAGGACTACAAACAAAAGATTATAACCTAGTGATTTTTGAAGTTGAATGACAGGTATATAAGAGTTTCTCATCCTCTCTTTCTCTGCCTTTAGGATTGCATTTTCCACAATAAAGAGTTGAAACAGAACATAACCTGCCAACATGTCCACTTCTCAGAATTAGAAGGCTTCAGCTTGTTTAGAGCAAAAATCAAGAAGGCTGTGTGGTTTTACACAGAATGTTCTGTGTAAACATTTGAGACCACACATTACCCCCAAAGCGTACACAGCCATATGCGTGTTGTCTAGTAAGCTCATTCGGTTAGTGTGATGTCAATGAACCTCAGGTTATAAACTGACATTCATGTGACTATTTAAATCATCACTTCCTGGCTCATGTCTATGATCTTACCCCAACAGTTGATTCAGGAATGTGCACTTTATCACTAGGGTTATCAGTAAACAGAATATTGATGAACCAGAAAAATAGCCCCACCGTGGCTACTAGAAGGATGCCTCCAAGTGCATGGCCTGTTTCAGCAAGGCTGTCTTTATCTATGTTACCAGCTGCAGAGTTTTCATTCAAATATAATCTATATATGCCATCTAAAACAAAGTCTTTGACATTTTTTGAATGAATAATTTGAGGTGAAGAACAGCAAACTGCAGCCCTACTTACTCACATAGTATAATGCTATTTGTATGTTGATGATTCCAGTGATCATGTGTTAATCAGTTGTGGGTTCATAACAACACTGTACAGAGCAAAACGAGCTTGCTCACTGTCCCCGATGGCCAAAGACCAAGGTGGGAGAGAGGGGGGTGCCTCTGAGGCACCAGCACGTGCAGTGTGCTCAACCTCACCCTGCCATGGACAGGGGAGCACCCACCTTCCGGAATTGGATGGCGAGCGATGCTGTCATGGAGCAAACACCTTCTGTATATCAAACTCTGGCAGGACTGGTAGGTTAAAAAGCACCTGAAAGCAGACAGATTGTATCATCAGTGCTACCAACAGTGGAAAGCAGCACAGTGTTGAGGGTTAACTCACCATGGACAATTATTCTAAAATGAGTTAACTAAGTAAAGGGCAAAAATGGTTGACAAATTCATGGCAACCATGTATCCCTCTGCAGGGGACAACTGGCCAGACCCACCCCACACTTAGTAAAGGGGAAGTGCCTGTGTCAGGCACCAAGAGATACAAGGCTTCTAATCCAGACAGTCACTGCAGCCCTGGGAAAGAATGCAGTCTGTCTATACCCGACTATACTGTGAATTTTTCATACATTAAAAAAAAATCAACTATGTATTATATCAGAAATTACTGTTAGTGATTTTTAAGATTAGGTATAAGCACAATGTTTAAGACTAATGGCACAGTGGTGAAAACTTGAAAGATATAGAAGACAAAGTTAATGGTACAAAAAAGTAAGGGCCATAAACAATGCTGAGATTCAATTCCATTCAATGACCCTTCACTGAGCATCAGCCAGGACCTGGCAAGTAAGGGAAGGTGGGAGCGATGGGAGGTCAGAGAGAGCTGCTGGGTTCTACAGGGTAGGTTTTCTGAAAGCTAACAGGATTTAGGAAGAGCAATAAGGAGTAAAGCACACACAAAAAAAGAAGGGAGGTGGGGGAAGGAGTTCCCAGTCGGTTTACCTTGAGTAAAGACCTGGGTGCATAGGAAGAAAGACTATACCTGAGTGAGAGCAAGCACCCATTCTCACTGAGAGTTACTTCAGTCAGCAAAAATGAAAATGATTTTTGTGGAAGAAGCTATTCGAGAGATAACAGTGGACAGAGGTTACACATGAAAACTCTGGATCCAGAAGGCCAGGTTCTCAGCTCTGCCACTAACCACCTGCATGACTGTGGACAAATTACTGAACGTCCCCAGGCCCCAGTTTCCTCATCTGTGTCCAACATGTGGCTTGAGATGTGTGTGCTGCTAAGCATCATGGCTGGTATACTGGCAGCACCAAGAGGTGCTGATTGCTGTTGTTACAAGATCGCTACGATTCCTAGTCTCCCCTAAAACATAAGTCTGAACAGTTAAATCAGAAAAAAGTACAGGTACACAATAAAGACTGGAAAAAATCCCAATATCAGTCAACAAGAGAGGAAATAATGGAATATCCATACAGTGGGAAACTCTGGCTGTTAAGAATGGGATCTATGCTCTGATATAGAAAATAACCACAACATTTTGGTAAGAGAATAAGCCAGTTATTAAGGTAGTTATATGTAGCAAAATCCTGCTTCTATTGCAAATAAATTTAAACAATTTAGTGAGTGCCTACCACATACCAGGCATTGTTCCAGAAATAGCCAGGAACAAAACAACAAAATTCCCTGCCTTCATGAAGCCTTCTACTCCAGAGGGAGGAGAAAAATCCAAAGTAAAAAATATATTAGGTAGTGATAACTGCTAAGGAGGAAAACAGAGCCAGGAAGAGGGATGAAGACCGCCAGGAAGGAGGAGGATGCCATCAGGCGCCATGATGTGGGCAGCCTGGCCGGGAAGGAGGCCCTGCTGGAAGAGAGGTCTGAGCAGAGGGGATGGCTAGCACAGATGTCCAGGGTGGGAGGGAGGTCGCGTGCACCCCAGGGACAAGGAAGCCAGTGCACCCTGAGTGAAGTCAGCAAGTCGGAGAAATGCAGAGATGAGATCAGAGAATGGGTGCGGGCCAGGCCATGGGGTCTTGATCACTGAAAGGACTTCAGCTTTTACTCATCAGAAACGGGCAGCCACTAGAGAGCTCTGAGCAGAGGGGTGACATGAGTTGATGAAATCGTTAACAGGATCACAATCTCAGCTCTACTGAGAACAGACTGGAGGGGACAAGGAAAGACATCCAGAAGATGGGTTGGGAGATAACTGTAATAATCTGGGCAAGAGATGATGTTTCTTGGACCAGGGATATAGAGGTGGAGGTAGTGAGAAAAGCTGGATTCAAATTTGAAATGCCTTTAAAACTTCCAAACAGAGAAACTGAGCAGGTGCTTACATGTGAAGCCTGGACTGAGGGAAGAGATTCAGACTAAAGTGATGTGTAAGTCGCCAGTGTACAGATAATGTGCGGCAGCCTAGAGAAAGTGCTCTGGGCTTCCCAGGTGGTGCAGCGGTAACAAATCCACTTGCCAATGCAGGAGCTGCAGGAGGCTTGGTTTGATCCCTGGGTTGGGAAGATCCCCTGGAGAAGGGAATGGCAACCCACTCCAGCGTTCTTGCTTAGAGAATCCCATGGACAGAGGAGTCTGGTGGGCCACAGTCCATGGGGTCACAAAGACTCGGACATGACATACCACACACACACTGTAGGGAGAGTGCTGACAGAAGAAAAACAGGTCCAAAGATGGACATCAAGGAGATACTATGTCCAGGAAGCCAGGTGATAAAACAGTGCTCTATGGAGGAGAAGGGAGGGATCAACGGTGTCAAACAGCCCACAGGGCCACAGAGTGGTCCTCTCAGAGTGAGACTGAGGGGAGAGAAGGGTAAGACTGCTACCCTTTGTTAAACCAAACACAGTACAGGAGTACTTTATATTCTATTAACTTTAATCGCCTTTGCTTTCATCATAATGATTTTTAAAAATTCAGCACTAACTTCAAAGTAAAATAGTACTGTGTGTTAGTCACTCAGTCATGTCTGACTCTTTGTGACCCCATGGACCACAGCCCACCAGGCTCCTCTGTCCATGGAATTTTCCAGGCAAGGATACTGGAGTGGGTTGCCATTTCTTTTTCCAGGGCATCTTCCCGACCCAGGGATCGAACCTGGGTCTCCTGCATTGCAGGTGGTTGCTTTACCATCTGAGCTACTAGAGAAGTCAAATATAGTATTACCAAAATAAACAAGAGAAACCCCTATTACAAGCAGTTACAAAGAAAACTACTACTAAAGGGTTTCAGTCAAACAGATGGGAAAAAACCACAGTAGGTTTTATGGTAGCAGCTTTTCTCCAACCTGATGGCCTGGGCACCATACCCTTTGGATAAACACTTGACAGTAGTCTGTGGGGCAGAGGGCTGGAAAATGCACGAAAGCAGCTTACCGGAGCCAAATGTGGCCATTGGAGCAGACAGCCTGCTTGCGATCTGTGAAGGGCAAGATCTCCTTACACAAACTACAGTGCTCAGGGAAGGTCTGCTTGTTCATCTTCTTTGAGATGTGTCCAATCAGCACCTAGTAAAACAAAGCGGTCAGTGGCAGTTCATGGTGAGCGCAGGGTTTCCCAACACCAAGAAGAAAAGGACAGCTACGCAGTGTCTTCTACCAGAGAGAAGCACTGTGTCCCCACGTGGGCCCGCCACACTGTGTAGAAAGTAAAGAAGCTGGACCTTTAACTTGTGCCAACTGGTTGAGTAAAATAAAATAAATTCAATCAGGCACCCTGTGACAACGGTGAACTTTACTCACTAAAGGAGAAATGTTGGGGGGGAAAAAATCTTATTATTTGCCTTTACTTTCTTTTGAAAGGACTTCAGAGTTCTGTCAGAAGACAAAGTATTCAGCTATACTTACAATGTTTGACTTTTAAAAAAGAAAAGCATAATCTGTGCAGGCAAAGTATCATATGAAATACTAACTCTGGAATGAAACAAATGTCTATTCTTTCAGAAAAGCTTACAAAGTAAAAAGATGATCGAGATTAAAAAATAATACCTTCTCCTTCTGATGGCCCAAAGACCCACTACCCATCTAGTGAGCCCGCAATAGGAGACCCACCAGCCCCACAGCACAGGTATGGGAGACCTGCTGTTGGAGTGAGGGAGGCATACAGAGCAGCCCGAGGCCTTGGCCCTACTTCAGTTTCGCTTCTTTCTCTGCTTTAGTAGGGCTGCACCACTTCAATGAAAGTCTGAAAAACACTAAATCTACTTCATTATCTTGTTGGAGAAAACCTTCACAAGCTACGTTTTGGGGAGGCATGGAATATGTCAGTCCTTAAGAACCACCTTGTCTTATTAGCAGATAGTCCTTCCAAGTTTTAATCCATTTACACTTGAGCTCTTGTGTAAAAAGAACTTACTAGTTTGCCATTCACTAAAATTAGCTCACTGATGTTCTGAAGGGTATCTTAATAGCTCAGAAGGGTATCTTACCTACTGTGCATATAATTTGCAAATTTAAAGTCTGTTAACTTTTGGCCTTTTTTAAAGGTCTTGAGAATTCTAATTTATGGTCCCTTATAGCAAGGACAACTACTGTACCAGGTTTGAAAAGATTCATTTTAGGTACACAGTAGGATTTTAAAACAAGACATGTATTGTTTTCAGTCTAAACTCAGTTGCTGTAGCTGGGCAGAGGTATAATCTTCCTCTCTTTAAACTGGCTCTGTTGGAACCAAACTGCGCTGAATGTAGCGTTCCATGCCCATGCAGCATGTGCGATAATCATTCTAAACCACTGCAAACCAACTTCCATTACAGATAGTATTTGTTAATATTTTATGCCGATAATACCCTTACTTGGTCCTATGAACCAGTGGTAATCAGAAAAGTCCTTCACACCATTGAGATCACAATGCAACGATCTTTAAAAGCTGACTTTCCAAGATGAAAGGTCAGTTACATGAGCAGTGCATCCTAACTGCTTCTGAGTGTGAGTGAGCACACAGCTGCTGTGCATCAGTAAACTAAGGACGCTGCAGCCAGGAGCCATCGTGCTACCACTGCCCGAGGGTGAGCCCCGAGGGAACTCAGGACGGAGGCAGGACGGCCCCATCTAGCTGTGTCAGCTGCTGCGGTGCCCCCAGTGCGGCATCCTAAGGAGACTCAGGCTGAGAATCACAGGATATGTGGCCCGGGATAGCTGAGGTACACATCAAAGTAATGATTTCAGTGAGCCCAGACCCTGTTATCTTCCCATACAGAGAAAAGCCCTAAATTCCTTAAACTGGTATGTCTTGGTTTCCTTATTTGCAACAAAGACCAACTATGGTCTCTGTTGTAAAAACTCTTAAATATCCTAGCTCCACACCCTTGCCCCTCTGGTGCAGTCTCTCTGAGTTATCTTAGACACAGTGTCCCAGGCTTAAGTCATCAGTTTTGCCTGCTGAATAAAACATAACTCCATTTTTAGGTTGTGCTTTTTTCAGTCAACATCAGATGGTTGCAAACATCCTTAAGAAATAATTTTAGGGGTATATGGATATACACACACAACTTTCCAACAAGAAAATGCAACAAGTGACTTGTGAATGGTTTAACATTAGGCATGAAGATACCTGAATTTATTACCTTCAATTAACATTTTAGATTTTAGATAAGACTTCAGGCAGTGAGAATAAACATCAAACTTCAGAGTAAAAAGGACCATAGTCTTGTCTTCTCGAATATTTTAGTATACAGTATGTTCCTTAAAACAGTTTTTCAGGATTTTAGAAGCTGTCAGCTCAGGATTCTTGATTAAAAAGTCTACATGACACTGAACTGCACAAAATTAAAGGCTTCTTTCCTCTAGGAATTCTCAGAACCCTTACAAGGATGATGTACATTGGAAACCTCTAAGAGGAGTATGGCGTATTTCCCCAAGCTTCGGACCCTACTGTTCTGTCAGAGAATTTAATTCTGTGAAATGCATTTTAGATAACACTGTAAGATTGTTCTACCACCAAAATAAAGATTATACTCAGTTTTTGCAGGGGGGGGGGGCAGGGAACACCCAATGGATAATGATTTTACTTCCTATGCCCTTGTAGGCTAAATCAGAAAACCTCCTGAAGTCCTATCAAATGCAAAGAATCCCCACCACAGGCCTCCCCCTCCCATCTTTCTGCAGACAGGAAGGGGAGGGAGGGCCTGTCATCCTTCCCCTGCAGTGTCTGCCCAATCGCAGCCCAGTCTGTTCCTAGAGCCCATCCACAGCCCAGAAATCACCCAAACGTTGCACATCAATCAAGGCACCAGTAAGAATAAGAGCTGAAATAACTCTTAGTGGGACATGTCCTTTGCATTAATCTGTTTCCTATTTATTTTCCTGCACCTCATGCTCATCGATTAGCTAAATATGTCAAAGCAGAAGTTGAGTTTTACGAATTAAGTTTAAGTCATTTCTTTCTTGAGAAGCAAGCAGATTTTTCGGTTTTCAGTGTTTTTGCTGACAAACACCTACCCGTGCGGTTCTGTCATCATACTCTTCGTCAGACATCAGAAAGTTACAGAGTCCCCTGGTGGGGATGCTAGTGTTTTCTGTGATCCAGGTGTGTAGGTATACTTCGCCCAGGACTCGCTTCATGTGCTCCCTCGTCAAGTGCATTTCCACTGCTTCAATTTTTCCCTGGATTTCAAGGAGTTTCTCTTCCATTGGCTCTCGGCCTCCAGTATCCCCAGATTGAGGGAGTGAGTCCTCTGTGGGGTCCTCTGGATCACCGTCTTTGCCTTGCTTACTGATCTGTTTGGAAGAAGTGCCTTCCTCCTGCTGTTCATCCTCAGCATTGCCCGTCCCAGGTGAGTCAACTAGTAAGATTTTTGAGTCCTCGTGAGTGGGTTTGCATAAGGCTTCTGAAGGGGTTTTCTGCATCGACTGGTATAAAATCCTCAGGAGGAAGAGTTTGAAACGCCAGTAATAGGTGGCCCCACTGCTTTCAATCTTTTTTTCCAAAGCTTCATGTAAAAATTGAGGGATATGCTTATCCTTTAAAATCTTCCAGCGTACTAGGTCTATTAAATCTACCTGCTTGAAGAGATTCTGGACAGAAGACTCCAGAAGCTGAGCAGCTGCCTCTTCAAAGGTTTTGAGAGTAACGAACTGAACCTGGTAGTTTTTGTTAACGGGATGGAGGCCGTTGACCATGCCCTCAGTGGTGATGACGGCCAGGTATGCGCCGCAGGGGCTCACGGCTATCCCGTGTGTCCTCACGGAGCCAAACACATCGGAGAGTTTAATCAGCTGGTGCTCAAACTTCAACGCCACATCTGTGAAAATGGGGATCAGTTGCCTCACCTTGCCGTCACTGGAGCAAGTGTACACCGTCCCATTCTGCTTGTCAGCAGTCATGGAGACGATTGGCAGGGAGTGCAGGCCCGTGACGTGAGAGTTGTGAACATTCAGACCTGCTTTGGAGATCAGGAGAAGACACCAAAACACATAGGATCCTCGTGCGGCCACCACTAAGCTACAGCTGCACTTCTGGTAAGGGTGGTACAGTGGCACACACTTGATGCTGTGGACTGGCAACTGGTCCATTTCTTTCCACAAGACTACAGGCTGCCTTAAGGTAAAATAGCCTTTAACTGCTTTAAGATTGACAGGAAGGATTTTTACAGGCCCAAAAGCACTCCCCACAATAAGGCCACTCATTTTCCGATTGTTGTGCTCGTATTCCCACCAAAACAAAACACTAGGAGAGTTGATTCCTGACTCAATTGTGTTGCATGAAGAGATAGACTCCTTTCCTACAAACGGGAGCTGAAATTGCCACACAGCAATGTTCCCGTTTTCAAAGAGGACAGCCAGGAGCACACTGCCCACGTCGCGGCACTCATTGTTGTGCTTGACCTGCTGGGTGGTACAGATGCCTGACCACTCCATCCGGACTGGTGCCTGCATGCTGTGACGCCTCTGAAACTCGGCGAAATCCCTGAGATTGCCCTCCGGGGCCTCATTTCTGGAGAACCTGTAGCTGGTCTCATAGAGACGCTCTCCATAAATCTCTGTCAGATCCACCAGCTGGACCCACTGCAGTCTGTTGAGGTTAGCCTGGATGGTCAGGCGATTGTCCATGGTCAGTGCGGCCAAGAGGCACCTGCCATTAGCATCACAGCCCACGGGGGACCAGCTAGTGTACTTGAACCCTCTCAGTGGTGGCAGAGCCTTCCCCTCAGGGTTGAACACCCTGTCCAACATGAAAGTCTGACTGACTGTGGGGTCTTCAGAGGTGGCAAATCTCTGTTTACACTCGGCAACTTCCCTTTTTGAGCCAACCTGAAAATAAGATATAAAAACTATCAGATAAATATTTCACTCTAAGAGGAATAGATTTACATTGCATAGGGTGGATTAATTGATCCACATAAATATGTACAGTAATTTGACATCAATTCTATTAATTTTGACATGGCATGCATTTAAAAGATCAAGTACATGTCTAAAACTAAACAAGCATTTACTCAGGAAATGGCAATTTTTAAAATTTTAGTTTGTTTATAGGAAATGGCAGTATTTTTAAGGGTCAGAGAAAGTGCTGTGGTTACTCACAGCCTGGTTCCCACCTTCTTCTCAGAACTAACAAACGCTGTAGCAATGACAGAAGTATACTTGATTCTAAACAGTCAACTAAGCATTCTGTTAAACTAGTCACAAAACAATAAAGGAGTTAAAAAGTCATGAAAAGATATGTATCTGTATCTATATATAAATATAGATATTTTTGATACAATTAGATGTTTGGATTTTTAACAATATCTTTGCGGTATAAGTCTCCCATCTGAAATTTCACTGACCGATTACTCTGAGAACCAGCTCCAACAGCTCTTTCCACTGTTTCTACAGAATAATGTCCACCCCACCTTCCCTGGCTCCCCCTTGTGTAGGAGTATCTTTCCTCCTATCTGAACCCATCTATCCTACCAGGTCAAGCTCTATGAGACTTTCTGAGAACATTCTAGCTTTCACTTATCTCTCTCTCCTCCAAGTTTGCAACATACATGAGCAGTTCTATTTATTTAATGTCTAGGTGTACAATGGTAAGCTCTTTAGAAACATTTTAAAGGAACGTTAAAGATAGAGGAGAGAGAAATGACCAAAAGAAGGTGATCCAGAGTTGTAAGAAGATAGCCAGGAAGACTAAAGCCAAAGAGAGCAGAAGTCAATTAGAAATGATTTTTGTTATGTCAGAAGTAGGAAGAAGGACTTGATCCACTGTCTTTTCTTCTTTTCCATAGATGCTTATCTTCAAACTGGAAAGGGTAGATTAAACATGATTAATAAGGAATTCTAGCCTAAATATACATGGATATAACAAAAACAGACAAACAAACAAAACTCACTTTAAATGAGTTTAAGTCCCCAAGCCCAGAAGAATTACACTCCAGAACACAGGCGATGAACTCAGAACTATAACATTCCTCAATAAAGCTTGGACAACTGGAAATGTGTCAGAAAACCATAATGCAATGAATAGTTAACTGCTAGATCACATTAACAAATAAGCTTATAAAGTGAAAGGTAGATAAAGATCCCCTGGAGAAGGAAATGGCAACCCACTCCAGTATTCTTGCTGGGAAAATCCCATTGAGAGAGGAGCCTGGCAGGCTAATCCATGGGGTCACAAAGAGTTGGACGCGACTGTCCACACAGACATAGATACAAATTCCAACAAATGAATTAGAAGACTAACTTTTTCTAAAGTGTGTTAAACAGAACATCACTCCACTAAATTGCCCCTTGAAAAAAGAGTTTTGTAACTGTTTTGAAAATGCTGTTTATTATACATTATTCCCCCTTCAAGAGTTATAGCCAGGAGCTACTATAGAGTAGCTCTGTAGCTACTATAGGGCTACAGAGTTATCTAAACTTTTTTTTAACAACAGAGCCTTATGGCATTGGCTGGGGGTGGGGGGTGGGGGGGGGTGCTGTGCGGGGGCTGTCATCTTTCCTCATCCTAAGTAATACTCTGGAAATGGGCTCTTAGGCAGTGTATCTTAATTTCAGGGTAGTCTCTTGGATACAACTATGGATATACTGAAGAAAAACAGACCAGAAATTCCAATTAAATATAGGTATCACTGGCTAGTCTGTTAATAAAATGATGCTAATCAAAGCCCACAGCTTTGTATAGGGCATATAAAATTTGATTGAAAATCTGCACTCAGATGCCAGATTGCCTGGATTCAAATCCTGGCTCTGTCACATACTAGCTCTGTGACCCTGAGCAAATTGTTTAAACCTTCTGGCTTTAATTTCCTCATCTGTAAGAGTGCAATGACACGTTCTCATAAAGTTAGGAAGGTTAATTAGGTCAATATTTGTAAAGCATATATTAATAAATACTCAATAAATGTTATCTATGATGACAAGTAGTAGCACTCTCTGAGGATTAAGTAAATGTTAACGAGACATAATAAAAGTAAAATGCAGGTTAGGTAGGTATTAAGTTGTCTGCCAAATGGAGGGTGGATATAAAATTATTCACCAAATCCCATAATACTACAAACTAAGCAATAATCCTCAGACTAGGATAATTTACTACAATAAAAACTACTATAGAACTGAAAATAAACTTAGAGAATGCATAACCCCAAACAACAGTATAGAATGAAATAAAGGAAGCTCAAGCTTGATCCTAACTCAGAGCAGCAAGAATCCTTAATAGGATGGAAAGCAGCTTGGATGTCAGCCAGTAAGGAAAATCCTTAGGGTTTTGTGCAATAATTTCCATTTTAGGTAATCTGAACTAACCTACTGCACCTTCCCTCAATTCTTCACATCATAAAACTAGTTAACGAATCAAAACAAGTACTCAGATGCCCCAGGAGCATGTTAAGAGTCCAGCTCTCAGAGGCTGACCCCCAGTCAATCTTTTCACTATATGCTATCCTGTTTCCAGTTGGCCACTATGACAACTAATCATCACGTACTTTGTAAGCACCTAACAAAAACTCACTTGAAGCTCATAGACAGTAAGCTTCTTGAGAGCAGGAATATAATTCAAAAAAGACAGTAAAGTTATTTAACTTAATGGAATAGATGGAGTTGATATTACTAAAGTTCCTAACAGTTGAAACAAATAAAAGTAGTCATGCACATATTATTAGATTTTGGAACTGTGTGCAACTAGATGATTCACTAAATCAGCAGTCCAATGGGAAGAGAAAATCGCAAACTTGTTCTTAAGTCACTACTTCACTGGTTCTCAGATTTATACCATTCACCTTTATATCAGTGCCCAGGGCAGTAACTTGCAAAGTATACTTGCAAAGATAATATGTGAACTATTCTTTAACTGTGTATTTTCCTGAAAAAAGTCATCATCTAAATAATGATCAGAGCAAAAGCTTCAAAGAGGTTTAGCATCTAGCCTCTAGCATTTAGCATCACTAAAACTGTGATCTAGGTTGCAGGAGTCCATCTTCCTTGTTGGAGCAAACTGGACAGCACCAAAGAGATTTCAATCCACAGGGACTGTCAGTGGGCAGTGTCATCAAAGTACAGACAGAGACTTCCTTACATTCCCACCATTACTCCAGTTTTATCCCACAGAGGCCTCTCTCACAACCGCAGGGACATCTTGGCCTTCGTTTCCCAGGCAGGGCCTGCGAATAAGACTGCCAACCGACCGGTGCTTTCTGTGAGGCGCACACCAAAGCAGAAGGGGAAGATACCACTGACTGATTTCAGGAAAGCAATCGATTACTAGAGGGATATATAAGGATTTCCTACTACTCATTTTCCAGTTGTGGAACCAATGACAAGAATTAAATTTTTATCAGAATACAGTGATAAGAAATAACTGTGTATCCGTGGCCAAGCATCAACCCAGACTCCTTCCCTCATACGTGCATGACTGCTTTATCCTGAGCAGTTACAGTGTGCCAGGAACTGTGCGAAGTGGTCACACGCGTGTACATATGGACACATGAGCATGCATATATCCACATACAGTAATATATTTTAACTTAGTCTTCTAAAGATGCTAAACAAAGTAGGCTTTATTATCCTTTTATAGATAGACCTGGCTTGCTATCTTGTGCCAAAGTGTAATCTCTTAACCCCTGTTTTATGCTGACTCCAACAATCACCTACTTGCTTCTGGTCCAGCGGGAGTCACATTCCTGCACCACACCAGGGCAGTCCTCATCTATGACGCTGTAACAGCACCTCAGGGCTTCCTAAACTGAAGTCAACCATCTCAGACTGACCTTCCAAGTTCCCAGACTGACCTCACTTTACTGTCTCTGACTCTCTAGGAAAGCTACTTGACCTCAGCTGTAAACCCAGCATCATTTACACAAGCAACCAGAAGCTGTGTTCATGACTTATGTGTCTGTGCACAAGATGGGCACCTTATTCCTGGCACCTGGATGACCCCTTCCTCCCTTCTTTTTACAACCCAAACCCTACATTTTTTTTAGCTCTGCTGCAGATTCACCACCAAATAACCTTTCCTGATAAAAGCATCTCGGTTCAGCATTCCTTCACTTCTTTAAATTCTCTCTGCTGAAGCATTAAGTCTACCACACTGAGACATACACTTAAAATTTTCTCTAGCTGATGTGCATATGGTTAGTAACAGTAAGTTCCTTTTCAGCAGAGGATACACCTTTTAAAACCCCTCTGTTCTGCCTCCCTCCTTGAGTGTTTCTCAGTTTCACAGGATTACCAACATCTATTCATCTGACTGGCTTATCAGTTGAGTTGCTCAGGCGAGTCCGACTCTTTGCGACCCCATGGACAGTTGCAAGCCAGGCTTGCTTGTACCAACTTCCAGGCGACTGGTTTATACTTGAATCAATTTGTTCACACCTTGTCCAAGATCTTTGAAGGTTTAGTCATACAAACTTATCAATGATCTAATTCAACATCAAACTGTCACTTTCAAACTTGGATTAAGTATGCTAAAAAGTGGTGTGGGTTCTCTGCACCCCATTCAGTTACTGATCTATATTTTAAATGGCTTGGCAGAGTAGTTTTTTTTTTTAAACTTCACATTCACAGAAATACCTTCTCTGTATATAGATACATATTACAACTTATCACTACCTATTATTACATTGTTATTTGTTTCTGACCTGTCAATAGAATGAATGCAAACTCTAAGAGGACAGAGATTTTTTTTTTTGTTTTTGTACAATGTTTTACTTCTGGAGCCTAGATTGATGTCTAGCTGATACATTGTTGCTGTTGTTTCAGTCACTAAGTCCTACCAAGTCCTATCCCACCCTTTGGTAACCCCATGGACTGTGTAGCCCCCCAGGCTTCTCAGCCCATGAGATTTCCATAGTGGTATTCAAAAATGTGTTTACAGAATGAACGTACACTTTGATAATCACACATATACATACAGACCTATAAAGTAAACAGTAATGAAGTTTTAATATTTTTAAACCATTAAAATGAACAACACGACTTCCTAATTTGAAACATTTGGAAAATGGTGATGATCGAACAATAAAACTTTAGCAGCTTTAAAGTTCTGAAGGCAAACAGTTAATATGAAGCCAAAAGCACTAATCTACACGAAGCATTAAATCTATACGAAGATCTTAAATTTAAGAGCTACACTTATTTTCAGAAGCTTTATTTTTCATTCTACACCCCAAAGCCTTTTCGTTATTGAAGAAAAACTGGGGTACTAACCCCTGACATCCAGTATCTATCCATCTGCCCAAGATGAGAAAGACCACTCATATAACAAAATCACTGAAACAGTTAAAGACAAAGCAAAAAAAAAAAAAAAAAAAACAACCCCACACCAATTTTCTCTCTTCCAAAGCCAACTAGGCGGAAGAGGAGGGCACATCACAGTAAACAAAGCCAGCCCGGAGCCTCGGGGAGCAGGCCCCAGACAATAGGAGCGGGTGGCAGAGGCAGGTCTGGGGCTGGGTCAACACGGGGGTGGAGCCTCAGAAAGCACCAAGGGAAGAAATCTGCGCTAGCAGCCGGCCAGACGCCGGGCCACAGGGAGAACTCGGCTCCGGAGAGGGACCTTCCGAAATGTACCTGTGTTTCGGGAGTGGGTGGGCGATCCGGGAAACTGGGCATACACGGCGGTTTTTTTTTTTCCCCACTTAAGCTACAGCGGCGACCCTAAAGACTCAGTGCGAGGAGGCGGGAATCCCCGGCCGAGGCGTGGACCCGGGGATTCCCCCAGGGACCCGCGGGGACGTGGCCGCGGGGTGGGGGAGGGAAGGAGGCGGGCAGGAGACCCCAGAACCCGGGGCGGCGGGCATGACTTACTTTGAGGAAGCAGCTGTGGAGAGGCGCGGGCACCGATGTGCGGTGGATAACCAGGTCCTGGCCCGGGTTGTGCACGTCGCAGATGAGTTCCAGCACAGCGATGCTGCGGGCCGTGGACACCGACACGCGGTGGTCCTCGGACCACGCCAGCGGCTCCAGGCCGCTCACCGCGTACTGCAGCCTCACCGCCGGCTCCCGCCTAGTCACCAGGAGGCGGAACGCCGTGCTGGGCCCTGGGGCCGCGTCCGCCGCCGGCTCCTTCCCGACCGCCTCAGAGCCCTCCACCTCCTCGGGCGGCGCGGGCCGCTCGGCCGCGGGCCCCACCCGCGTTAGGGCCGTATTCATCTCTCCTCGGAGGCAGAGGCCGGGCTCCCGGGCGCGCGCCAACCTCCCCCTCCTCCTCCTCCTCCCCCTCCCCTCCCCGCCCCGCTCCGCTCCGCCCCGCCCCGCGCTGCCGTCCAGTTGCCGCCTCCCGCCCCGCGGCCTCCGCTGGGCCCCCAGATTTCCTCAGCAGCGGTTTTCTCCCCCTCAGGCCCGGAGAGCCGCCGAGCCACGAAGGACCCCGCCGTTGCTAGGCAACCCAGCCCCTGCCAGGTGGCCGAGGCGCTGCCTGTAAAAAAAATAAATTAAAAAAAATCTCACCTTGTGGTGGGGCCGGATCGCGGGTGGGCGAGGGGTAGGGAGCCCCCCCACCCCCGCCCCCAGCTCCTGACAACTAAAGTGCTGAGGAGAGCCAAAGGAGGAGGCGTTGGTTTGATGGGACACGCCTCTCCTCGTTCCTGAGAGGAATTTCAAAAGAACGTCAAGGGCAATAACTCTGGGGTTCGGTGTGACTTGCCATCCCCCCCATCCCCCGGCACAAGCCGCGGCACAAGAGACGGCCCTGTGGCCCGGGGCGCCGCGGCTCCGGCCGCTAGTGGCGCGGGACCCTTCGTGAGGGGGGCGGGGGACCTCAGAAAGCGCGCGCGGGCGCGCAGGACTCGGCGGGACAGCTACAGCGGGGTCCTCGCGCGCGTCCCACGTGGGGTCTAGCAGCGCCTCGCTCCGGGTTTCGCGAGATCCGGACGCGCCTCTCTGTCGACATGGCAGCCGTCAGCGGAGTTCTTCCTCAGGTCCCCGAGCCCCGGGCCGCCGTCTTCAGAACCTTCTCCAAACCCCGCCCGGCCCACGCGAGGCGGGTGAGTTCTGATCCGGTTTTCCAGATGCGTTCGCTCCCGGGGGGCGGAGGGGGGGGCGGGGGAGGTGGGGCCTCCGAGCGCCGGGAAGCTGCCGTCCAGGCCTTCTCCGTCGGGATTCGAATTAATTTCGCGGAGTTGAGGTGGGGAAAAGTCAGACATCGGGCAGCTCCCGGAGGAGTCGCTGAGCCGCGCGTGTCTTAAGAGCCGACCACGACCCGTGCAAACGCGCTCGGAGCGGGAGCGGAGCGGGCGGAGGCGGGCGGAGCTGGCTGGGGCCGCTTGTTAGTTGAAGGCGGGGATGAGAGACTTGTCACCCGAAGTTAGAAACGGACTCTCGGGGCGTTGAGGCCCTTAGCAGCCCCGTCTTCTAATCTTCTCTCAGCCACTCTTAAGGGTCAGTTTGTGTCGGGAATGAGGACTGGAGACTAGAAATTTCTTTGAAGAGTGTTCGAAACCGAGATATACATCGACGCGCCATGAAGGGGTGGGGGGCGGGGAAGAAAAATACAACTCATCAATATAATATCTTCGTTAGAGAGGCAAAGATGCCTGAAATTTAGCCCAAACCAGAGCAGAAAATTGGTTTTTAGGGCTGACTTAGCTCCTAACTAAGAGGAGGAATACAGGACAGAAAATCTGTTGAAAAATCTTGTTGCCTTAATGACCAGGAAGGATATAGTTTGCTGCCAAGGAAAGTGTGCGTATGTGTGTGTGTTCTCAAAAACGCATCATTTAATGCCATTGAAAAATTTTTTGTCAAATTTCGGTTCAGTTCCTTTCAAACAGTATAGTGCCGCTGAAGTTCCTTGAGTTCACATCAGCTCATAGCAAATGTCTGGTTTATTGTCTAGACTTTTTTCGTGGTAATCAAGTTTAGGATTTAGAAGCTTGTGAGTAAAACTTTTCGACTGGGCGATGTTGTGGCTTCATCTATATTGAAGGGGGAGGGAAGTACAAAAGAGCCAGTTGGGCACAGGGGATTTGGAATAGGACAGACCTGGGATTAGATGCCAGCGTTGCAACATGCTGGTTCTGTGACCTTGAAGAAATTTCTTCATCTCCCTGATCCTCACTTTTCCTACCTATTATATGAGAACAGTAATTTTGACTTCGTATAAAGTTATAAGTCATATTGACTCCATTTTGGGTGATAGAATTGCTCCATCAGGTCAGTAAGGTGCTTATACCAAGTACATGCAAGACATAGAAAACACTTACTAAAAGTTCATTGAGTGGGTTGAATAAATAAATGTAAGATATCTGGTTTTATGATTGCTTGAACCACTGTATCAAAAGGATATTGTTTAACAGCTCTCTGTCTGTGTTGACTTGTCTGCATATTTGATATGTCTTGAATGAGAATTCTGTGTATGCTGACCAAATTTGCTAATAGCTTGAACTTGGCATGAGTAGCTAATGTACTGGACTTAGAAAGACCTTGACAGCTTAAATTATGCTCTAACACTACACGGAGTGTTTTTCCTTAAAAAAAAAAAATATATATATATATATGTATATATATACACACACAGATTTATTGTAGGAAATATATAAATATATGTACATACATATAAATACATGTATATGTATATAAATATATATGTGTATATATATATATACACACACACAGATTTATTGTAGGAAATTTGGAAAGTAGATTAAAAAAAAAAACCCACAGTTGCCATACTCAGAGATAACTCTGGGTAACTTTGTGAAGTATATCCTTCTAGAAAAGAAGCAGATTAAAATAGGGATTAAACTGTACATGATGTTTTCTAACCAAACAGGATACAGTTTCTAAATGGTGTTGCAGCATTACTGTTAGTAACTAGGCTGTGGAATCAATGCTTGGTCAAAGCCTTGATCCCTCAGTGATGCTGGGACAGGTCACCTCCCATCGCCACCTTAGTGTTGTTATCTTAAGATGGGGTAATACCAGTACTGTATGGCCCAGTGATATCACTCATGTAAGTACTTAGCATACTGGCTGGTGCATAGTAACTATTTAATATGCTTGTTAATATCAAAGACTCGGCATGTACACTGTTAGGGCTGGATGGGCCCTAGAGGTTGTCTGCCATATCCCCTCATTAGGCAGGTGGGGGAGCGGACTCAAGGACTTGCATATTTTTAAAAAGATCTAGGTATATCTTTTCTCCTCCATACTCAGCTGCCACCCCATGAAGCATTCCTGTATCTTTGCCTCCCTCCCCCTCGCCATGGGCCATGATAGTCTTCTTGTTTTGTGCCCTTAAAACGCTTTGTCCACACCTGTTCTGTAGTACAGCTACAGGTTTGGTTTGCAGTCTCACACTTTTGTCTCGTCCACTTGTCTCTGACTTCTTCATGGGCTTGTCAGATCTTTGTACCTTTAGAACTAGGCTACTTGACAGCTACTAAGTGGTCAGTTTTTTTAATGAATATGTTGTGGATACTGGGGGCAAGGGGATTGACAAGTAGAACAGTGTCCAGAGTACAGAAAAGGGTCATTCCATGACGTGTTGTTCATTCATCCTGCAAGTATTTATTGAGCACTTACTTTGTGCCAGACACAGTCCTGTGCAGAGGATGCAGTGCTATCCAGCAGAGGCTTGTCCATTTATAACAATCTAATGGGAAAGACAGACATCACACAGCGAAAGACACCCTGTCTTTACTGTTTCACTGAGTGCTATGAGGAGAAGGGCGCCAGGAGAGCCAAGGACAGGGACCCTAGTTTGATAGGTGGAGGCAGAAAGTCTGGAATGGCTCCTCTGAGGATGCAGCAGGTGAGCCTGGATGTGAGGAATGAGTACAAGAGGGTAGGTTGGGGACACGGGTTTGGGAGTAGCACGTGCAAAGGCCCTGAGGAGAGAAGGAGCTCAGAACATCCTCAGAATTTAAGGAAGACCAGGATGGCAGAGAGTAAAGCTGAGGCTGGTGAGATGGGCAAAGGCAGATTCTTCATAGCTCAGGTCACACATTCTGGATTTTAGCCTGAGTGCAATGGAAAGCCCGCCTGATATTGTGTTTAACTTGAAACACTTAGAGAGACGTTGACATGGGAATAAAGAATGACTAGGATGATAGGGGTCTAAAAGTTTGTGTCCTGTTTGGGATATTTAGTCCAAAGAAGGAGAAAAAAAATGGAATTCTGTGGTGAACAAAGGAGTGTTGTATACAAGAGTTGGTTCCAAGAACAAACTGCAGACTAGGACTTGGATCTTCCGGGAAACACGTTTTGCCTGATGTCAGAAATAACTTCCTGACCCTTGGAATTTGGTTGGGAACAGAATGGGCTGCCTCACGGGGTGGAGAACAGTAGGAGGAGGTGCAGGCAGGAGCTGCAGGGCCGCCTGGCAGGGTTCCTATGATGGGAGGTCCACACAAGCGCAGCGGGAGAGGCCTTTAGGCCTTTTTGTGCTTCAAGAGCCTGTGATTTATAAACCAAGCAAGATCTGCACATTTCATCCCATCTTGCAAATGAGACCTGATTCTTGACTTCATCTCTTTTTAGTCTGAAAATTCGGGATTTTGTAAAAATAAATTTGTGACATTTGTAAAATGAAGCAGATTATCAATACTAAATGTTAATACCAATGCTAAATATTAATACCAAATATTTGAAGTTATATATATTGAATTACCTAGCTATAGGTGCCCTTAAGGTTGCCAGAAACAGAGAACTGTTATTGCCAGGTTAGTCAGAAGCTGACAGTCACGGCTAAAGCAAACTGATGTCTGCACACAGAAGTCATGATCTCAAGCCAAGAGGAAGATAGCATATTCCAAGAGAAATCAGAACTCCAAAATAATAAGCCCCAGCTACTCAAGGGATGTTTGTATATTCATGTGTAATGTAAATGGGAAGAGAAGGTCAAGGAAAATAGAGGAATTGGATATTCTTCTCCTAGGGGAAGTTTGGACATCATGCATTTAACAACATTCATGTTATGGAAATAAGAAGCAACAGGCAAGAAAATATCTCGTGTTGTAGCCTGTAATCGGTGATCAGATGGGGAATGGAAAGGCGAAGAGCGTTGGAAATAATTGCAATGGAGGTGATGGATGGAGCAGAATTCTCATTTGGAATGGAAGCTGGGAGGAGGAATCGTCTCCAAACCCCCTGAATCTGGGGGAGCAGCATGAGGGCAGAGAATGACAGCCATCCAAGCACTCAGGCTAGGCGGTAATGGAGGTTTCCGCTTCCTGGGCACGTGCCGTAACCGATGGGCTTTGTTGGTGGAGAGAGGAAAGATTCATGGCTCCTCCTCCCCGTGCTTGCCGTGTAAATGGCTTCCCGGGGATTTGGATCGCCTTAGCTGCACACTGCACTAGGTGGGTCCTCCTTTCCCTGCAGACAGACTCCAATTGTTAACATTCAGCCTGAAAAATGTCTCTCCCTTGATGGTCTTGGTGGGAGTGGAGGTTAAGATGATTGGTAAGGTCTGGTAAATGGATCAGCTGAGATTTGTGGGGTTTTTGTTTTTTTTTCCCTTTTGGGGTAAAAAGGGCCGAGTTAAAGAATCTGATTGCATACCCTAAACTGTTGCTTGACATATGGGGAGTAATGATCTCTGCAGGGAGAGATGCAATTCTGTGGGCAGTCAGGCTTCACTCTGAGGTCTGTCTTCATGGACTGACGCATCTCTTGTCGCTCTTTCCTTTTGGGAACAACACAGCAAGCAGCAGCCACCAAAAGAAAATGCCAAGCGTCCAGCGAGGCTCCCCCAGCGAAACGGAGGAGCAAAGCCTCATTTCTCCCGGCCAAGAAAACTGCCACGAAAGAAACTCGCAGGACCTTGAAGGGGAAGGCACAGAAAACGTTTTCTCCCAAGAAGTCTTCAGCCGGTGCGAGTAATGGAAACCAGGAACGGAAGCTGGGCGTTAAGACTTCATCGCTGTTTAAAAACAACCCTGAGGTTCCAGAACTCCCCAGGTATGTCCAGGGGTAGACACCCTGCGAGAATGAAAGGAATGAAGTGTCTTCTGCCTTTTTCTTTGCCTCTGGGAACTGACGTCTGCATCTTGTTCGTTATTTGCAGACCTGTAGTAAAGCAGGTTCAAGAAAAGGTGTTCACTTCAGATGCTTTTCAAGCCCTGGACCTCCACCCACATCTTGTAAGTATCCCTCCTTGCTTTCTGGGTGTCTCGATTTTGGGGGTCTGTCTGTTCATTCAGAATGTCTGTGAAGTGACAGTTCTAGGAAGAAAAAAATTTAAAAAGGGTTATATCTGTTCCAGGTTACCCAGCTAAACTCAGATCGATAAGATGCTTTTCCAGGACAGTTACGTGAGCTTAGCAATCTGTTCACTGTCCTCACCCTCACCCCACCCCCACCCCCCTTTTTTGTTTTTTGCTCACCTAATTCACTTTAGGACTGGGACTCCACTTATCTGACTTGAAGACCACCTTATAATTACTGGATAAATATGGCATCAAGACATTGGGTGGCCGGTGTCACAGTGACCCTAGGAGAGGGAGATGAACTGTCATCTTGCTATTAAGGGAGTTATAAAGAACTGAAGGAAGAAGGGTCTTTTTGAACATGGACACTTAAAAAAAAAACCAAACAACCATGAATGAGTGTTCCAGTTGTGTTTATGAGTAAGGCGAGAAAAATACATTCACTTTTAGGAAGTCCAGATTTTCTTGGCTCACATGGTCGTGGCTTACCTGCTTCTTCGTTGGGGCAGGTTACCTGTGCTCGCGTTCTCAGCGCAGAGTGCAGCGGCTTTCCAAGCCTGGGTACTGTGTGCACTGGAGACGGGGCCTCTGAGTCTCGCGCTGCCTCGTGTGTTGTAGGATGTTTGGCAGATCCTGTGCTCACCCGATGCCAGGAGCATCCCCGCCCCTGAGTTGTAACAGCCAACAGTTTCTCCAGATGTTGCCACACGTCCCGGGCAGGCTGGCAGGGAGGCAGTGCACAGAACCACTCCCAGTTGAGAACCATTGGTTTGGAGGAACTTGATTGGATTGTGATCATCAGTTTTTACCCCAGTATTTTCCCTTTCTTTGCATCTTTATTTTCATTAAATGTATTTATACCAAAAAAAATTAGGTAAAGGGAAGTATTTATTTATTTTTTTGTCTTTTCTCTTAGATTTCCACAATAAATACAGTCTTAAAAATGTCTAGTATGACCAGGTAAGAGTTCTGGGTCTCTTGATTTTCTTAGGATTTAAGTGGGTATAAGCAAATGAAATCTGAATTGTCCCTGGAGGACAGCAAACTCATATCTTGGCATTAGAGAGCAATGCCAGATTATTAAACCCTGAGGGCTTGGTAACCACTCGGCCTCCCCACACAGTACATGGGACTGGGTCTCCATCCCTGCCACGCTCAACTCTGAACTCTTAAGAGGTCTCTCGTCCAGAGTGGTCTGCATGGGCTGCCACTGTGGTCCATGCTGCCTAAAAATAATTTGTCTAAAATATAGAATTTATCTTGTCATTCCTTAGTAGTAAGAAGTAGAGTCAGCTACAAGATAGGAGTAAATACTTGGTTGGATGTAATGGGATGGTGAAAAAAGATTTTAAATGTTAGCGACAACTCCTGGAAAATGGAAATGGAGTAGTGAGAGGTATGGAGCAAAAATGATACTCCCCTCCCCTTTGAGTGTGTGTGCTTATGGACCTTTAAATGTCACCTTTCACTTAGAAGTAGCTGTTAGTAAAAGTATCAAAGAAAAATGAGCCCCTCTGTTACTGTTTTGTTCAGTTTTAGCAATCAAATGTGGTTTCCATATCCTTTCAGGGTTTTTTTTTCATTTTATTGAAGTATAGTTTGTTTATAATGTCTTAATTTCTGCTGTTACAGCAGAGTGATTCAATTATATATTTTTTTCATGTTCTTTTCCATTGTAGTTTATCAAAGGACATTAAATATAGTTCCCTATACTATGCAGTAAGACCTTGTCATTTTAGTTGTTTGTTTGTGAATACACACCTGGACATACATCTTACCGTGTCCGTGGCAGTCGTATTTCGTTTTCTAGAGAATGGGCAGCAATCCCTGGCTGTCTGCGGGGCTCACGAGCCCCGCTTTCCCTCTTCTGCTTGGGAATCTTTCCATAACGTCTTATTGCTTCATATTCCCTGGTTCAGAAGAGAAGAGTATGTGATGTGCTTTGTGGTGGCTCCAGCTTGTCATCATGCCTGTCACATTTTTTCTTTTTAATTAGTATAGTATACCAGCCAATCTCTGGGTTGCCTAAACTTTTTCAGCCCCAGAAGTTCCAAAAATTTAACTAGGGTTTTGCCCTTCTAACCATCAAGGGCTTCTCAGTCCTTCCTGTGACTGTTCAGGTAATCTCCAAGGTGACATAGAGCCTGGGGCAGTTGCATTCTGTGGATCTTGTGTCTCTGCTTGTAAACCTGGGCGGGTAGTACATCATAGGTAAGCATGTGCTCTTTCTTCCGGGCGGCCCAAGCGTTCAGAAGCAGAGCATCCCCGTGTTGCTGGAAGGCAGAGATGCCCTCGTGCGATCCCAGACGGGCTCAGGTCAGTCGTCACTTGATTTCTGCCCTTCCTCCACGGTGGTCGTGTGGTGAGCTGTCTGTTGATGGTGGTGGCTGCTTTGTCTGGTAGGGGGAGGGGAGGCCGTACTTGCTTCTGATCAGAGCCCTGAAAGGAAGGGGTTGATCAGTGGGACCACGATCAGGAGTGATCAGAAAGGAGTCAGGTTCCGCGGTCATTTCTCAGCCCCCTCCCAGGTCTCCACCTGGTCCCACCATCTATGGCCAGAGCCGTCCATCTTCACTCCAGTGGCAATTAATATTTTTTTCTGGTGTTAAAACACTCTTGCCATGAGCACACACTGATCAGATGCCAGTTGTTGTGCTCAATCACGGAACACTGGTTTTGTTTCAGAACAGTCTGGAATAGCTTTTCTGACCTCTTGTGCCTGTAAGAGCAGGTCAGCTGTCCTTTCCTCCCCCGCTCAGCCACTGTCCAGGTGGGCGGAAGCCCAAGGATTTTGCCATCCGTGGTTTGTCCTTGGTTTCTGGAGGCCGGCTCTGGGCTTCCAACTGGCTCCTGACTGTTAACGCTCCACAGAGGACACTTCTGCCCTCAGAAGCTCCTTTGAGAGGTTGAGGGTAACCCCAGGGAGAGGAGTTTCTCTAGTTCCTAGGGATATTCACTGAGCTTAGCTTCTGTGAGACTTGGGGAACGTATCATTGTCTCCCTTGTTAGACGTTAAAGGAGCGAAGCTGCAGGTTTATTAGAAGCACTGCATTCACAGCGCAGAGCTAGGAGTTGTGAGACAGATGACTTCCGTTTTCCCCTGATTGTGAGTGCACTTTTCCTATCCCCAGACTTCAGGGCAGCGCCAGTTTCCTTTACTATCTTTGGTTTTCTGATGTCCTCAGACTCTGGTTTTAATTCCTCTTGTCCTCTTTTAAAAGGTAAAACTCTTGCCTATTGCATCCCTGTGGTCCAGTCTCTTCAAGCAATGCAGTCCAAAATACAGGTGAGTAGAAAGGCTGTCTTTCTGGGAGTTCCCTGGTGGTCCAGTGGTTCGGACTTGGAGTTTCACTGCCAGGGGCCTGGTTCAGTCCCTAGTTGGAGAACAAAGATCTCCTAGTTGGAGATCTTCCTGCAAGCTGCTCAACAAGGCCAAAAAACAAAAGAAAGTGCATTTTTTTCTGTTATTGTTCATGGTGCATATGAAACCATCAAACTGAACCAAAGCAGTAAAATCTTTTCACTTAGCTTTGTTTTCCTACCTCTGTTTAATTCATTTACTATGTAAGCATGTTGCATCAGAGATTGTGCCCAGAGTGGGGGATAGAATAAAAAATAGAACAAATAATAGACAACTGTAACAGTCATTCTAGCAGGTCTACTAGGGAACATTTGTAAGATGCTACTCGTGTGTCAGACATGGTGCTGAATGCTTTGCTCACGTTGTCTAATTGGCTTGCTAACCACCCTAATCACACTAAATTGGAAGAAATTACTGTTACCTCAATTTGAAAAAAAAACAAGGAGACTTGAAGTTAAATACCACCCTAAGGCCACGCGAGGCGTGAGCCTGAAGTTGCTTCTCCACCTCCATTCTCCGTGGCTCCAGAGGCCACGCTCTTCTCACCGGGAGCAGTTAGCATCGCATCAAAGACGGGCAGGGAGAGGGCGTGAGTAGTGGGGGTGGGGATAAGCGCCCGTCAGTGAGGGCGCCGGTTGGGCCGCCTTGTAGTTCCTTCTTTAGTTGGGAAGCACACTTAGCGCCTGGGCCAGCACGGATCCTGAGGAGGCCACGTGACTTCCTTGTTCCGTGGGCATCAGTATCATCTCAGAACCCAACCTGGAATCTCACGAATACACCCTGGTTATTCTGAGCTGAGAGGAAAGGTGAGAATAAAAATAGGAAGTAGAGTAGTTCACAGGCAGATGAGAAGAGCTGGTTGGTCACTTTTTTCCTTGGTTTGGGCATGCCAAATTGGATGTGTGTCGAGCCTTCCTGTTATTGCAGTGACAAAATAAATAATGATAGTGTTGGGTTCCGGTCCACAGTCTAAAACAAATACCCGGAGTCCAAACTGACACAAATGAATTATTGGCTAAACAGATGGGACAAGTGGAAGCCCTTCCTTACAGTAGAATTCCAGTGAATTCATAATAGGACATTATCATGTGGCAAATGCTACGGTGATACTGCTTCAGGCAGGAATCTTCGGAAATGCGAGAGTGAGTGGATTAAAGTGTGATGAAAATGGGATATTTACACACTGAAGTTATCTTTCCAGGAAATAGAGGAAAAAATGGTACCTTTATGGTGGGGAGCCTGGCTGTCACCACCTCAACCACGAGGTCACAGGGGACCTCACCAGTTCTGGGTTGTGTTGACCTCACATGTCTCCTGCTAGGGGTATGAGGGATGAAATAGTACTTCCCTGGTTTCCTTTCATGTATGTATGTGTGTATATATATTTTAATTTTCATATGTTTTTGTTTGTCTGTGGTTGTGCTGGGTCTTCACTGCTACACAGGCTTTTCTCTAGCTGCAGCAGGCGGGGCTGCTCTCCAGGTGCAGTGTGAGGGCTCTGGAGCGGCAGCTCCCGGGCTCTGGAGCACGGGCTCGGTATTTGTGCTGCACGGGCTTAGGTGCTCCGTGGCAGGGAGGATCTTCCAGGACCAGGGATTGAGCCTGTGTCTCCTGCATTGGCAGGTGGATTCTTTACCACTGAGCCACAAAGGAAGTCCTTCTCTGGTTTTCTTGCCAAAAATGCACAACTCTTAATTTGATCACAAACATCAAATAAAGCCAAGTCAAAAGACATTCTACACAGCAACCAGCCAGTACTCTTCAGAAGTATTGAGGTCACAGAAGACAAAGATGTACTAAAGCTCTACCCCAGCGTAAAAGAGACAAAAAAGACACGACAGCTGAGCGCCATGTGGCTCTGAATTGGATCCGAGTCTGGGAAAAGGCGTGTTAGAAAATCAGATTAACTGATAATATTGAATCTGTTAATTTCCAGTGTATCAGGTTGGCCCAAAGGTGGTTCAGTTTTTTCCATAAGATATTAACATAATGATTTTGAGAATCAAAGTCATATAAGGAAGCTGGGAGGAGGGGGTAAGGGAGTTTTTTGAACTATTTGTGTAGTTTTGTGTAAGCCTGAAATTATTTCAGAATGAACATGTTCAAATTTATTTAAACTTTATTTAGATGATTTTAAGTCAATAAAACAAATCCTACACAATCATTCAAGTGAAAGTGATATTTTCTTCAGTTCCTGTTCGTGGACTTGATAGGCATTCTTGCCATGTTAAAAAAGGGAGGTTATAAAGCAGTATGTATATGAGAGTCCAGGTTCATAACTAATGATTGTGTGTATGTACATACATATGTGCATGCACACTCAGAGATGAGAAAGATACTTTTCAAACTAATACTGGCTTTCTCTGAGGTGGATGAGTGAGAATTCTGTTTCTTCTGGATGACTGGTGTTTGCTTCCACTGGGTACTTTGTGGTGAGGGGGTTCATACAAGGGGCTTTCACATTGTACCTGGTACAGATTAGAGAAGAAATATGAATTAATTAGCTCACTATCTAAAGTCTCAGCCCTTTAGATACTCCAAGAGAATGTCTGTAGACAGTGGAGGGTTTTTTCTTTCTTGGAAAGTTGCAGGGTTTGGGCGTATATCTGAGCTGGCGTGGGTCCCACAGTTCCAGCGCAGCTGACTTATTTCCTGGACCTGTGAACTAAGGACAGCAGAGATGCAGTTGTGTTCCTAGAGTGGACAGCCTGGGGTTCTGCTCAGAACCTGGGCCTGAGTGAGATGTTGAGCGCATCTTTCCATCCCTGTATGCCCCGGGGGGGATCACGAGGAGCCTGTGTCCTGGGGCTGCCAGGATTGAGGGAGGCATTGCACCGGGAGAGTGGAGCCCTGCCTCCCTGATCCTGGCGACAGTGCCTGCCCGCTGAGTGTCCTTGTCATCAGCAACATGGACTTGTATGAAGGGCAGTGTTCTGAATTGCTTATATTCAGAGCATTAACCAGCCGTGTATGTCATTGCTTTTATTACTCAACTATTTTTTTTAATATCAATAACAGCTCGTTCTATTAAAGATGGGAATATACTGTAGAAATAGTTTTCCAAGCCCAAATTTATTTCAAGTAACATTCAGTATAGGCCCTTGTGGTTCAACGTAAATGGATCTGGCCTGTTAAAAACCTGTCTGGAGGGAGCAGCGAATTCAAGGCACCCAGCAGAGTCTTCAATTACTGTAGTGATGGGATGAGAACGGACCAATTTTCTGTGTTTCCACACTTTCAGCTCCTTGGGCTCTCTCTTTTTTTTTTTTTAACATCCCATCCATCCTTCCTCACTCACTTCTGCCCTGCGAGGAACTGATTGTTCTTTCTTCTTCTCTGTGTAGTAACACCTTTTGAAATGTCAGAATCTCTAACACTGCGGTGTTGATACCGTTGTACTAACATGTTTACCATTCCCCGTCCGGGCTTCAGTTTCTTGCAAAGATGTCGAGTACAGACACCTCTAGTTTGAATTCCAAATCTTTTTCTCCTTGTGGGTAAATATTTCCTATGCAAAACATGAAAACCATCCTTGTAATTTAATTTGCCACTAAATCTGTGCTTAGCTTCTACACTAATGTGTTTTTTTTTTCCCCAAGTTTTTTTTTTTTTTTGATGTAGACCATTTTTTTAAAGCCTTTATTGAATTTGTTACAATATTGCTTCTGTTTTCTCTTTTGGCTCTTCAGCTGGGAGGCATGTGGGGTCTTAGTTCCCTGACCAGGGATTGAACCCACACCCCCTGCATTGGAAGGTGAAGTCCTAGCCACTGGACCACCAGGGAAGTTCCCTAACAGAGTTTTGGTTCTTCCCCTATGTGTCCTAGCACTTTGGAGGTGCAAGGCACCACTGGACCCTTTTCAGATTACTTTGTTTTCTTCTATCATTGTTACTGTTATTTATGGATATAATGTATATGTTAAAAATTTTTCTTGAAGAGTACCAAAGGACATACAGTGATCAGTGAGTGGTTCTACTGCCACTTGGCCCAGATGGCACAGCTCTTAGGATAGTGTGATCCTTATCACCAGCCTCCTGTTTTTCCTCCCAGGGATGTTCTTTGCGTGTAAAGTGAATCTGAGTATGTGTAGTTCCCCTCCTCCTCTGGCTGAGGTTTTTGCTTGTTTGATACAGAAATGGTTGCTTGCTGTGCATGATTGTGCCTTGCTTTTTTTCACTTAATATGTTTGGAGGATGGTTTCTTATCATTACTGTGTTGACCTGCTTTGTTTTTTGTTACGGCTGCCTAGTATTCCACTATATGTATGTACCATAAATTATTGAGTCATTCCGTCATTGATGAAATTTATTTTGTATTCAACATTTTGCTACAAAGCAATTAAACAACTTCTTTACACACACTTATGAATCTTTTTGAGAAACTCTTATAAATGGAATTTGTATTTTTATTTGGTAGATAATACCAAAATTGATCTTAAAAGGAGGTACACCAATTTTCATTCCCACCAACACTGTACAAGAGTTTCTGTGTCCCTGTGCCTTTATCAACACGGTTGGCTGTTTTATTTTTGCTCATCTGACAGGGGAAAAATATTGTGTCATAGTTTTAATTTGAATTTCTCTTGGGAGTAAAGTTGAGCATCTTTTCACATGTTTAAAAGTCATATTTTGAGTTATTATTTCCATAAGTTAATTGTTATGCCCTTCTCCATTTTTCTGTTTGAGTTGATGGTCTTTTTTTTTTTTTATTTTTAATTCAATCACAAACCTTTATAAACTAAGAAATGGTCCTTTCTCTTATGTATGACATATTTTTCCCCATGTTATTTGATTCAATTTTGTTTATGTATTAACTTTTTCATTCTGAAATTTTAAATTTTTTGTGTAATAAAATTCTTCATGTTTTATAGTTTCTGAGTTTCATGTCATCTGTAAAAAGGCCAATTTAACTCCAACTTTATTTTTCTAGCTTAGTTTTAAAAGGGCATTTAAATTGTCCGTCTTTTCATTGCTGATATAAATTGCCCCTTACCGTATTTCCTGACTTTTTGTATGTATTTGATTTAATTCTGGACTGTATTTGCTATTATAATCTCTTATGTGGTAGCATCAATTTTTAAAAAAACTACTACGCATTTAAGCTATTTTAACACTTGATGTTCAGAAATATCTTGATTATTCTTGCACATTTGTTTTTTCATGTGAAATCAGCTTATTTTTTATATGCATGTATATGTATTTTTGTGACATTTTCTCAATATTTTATATATGCATAAATATGCACGTTCATGGCATTTTTATTAGAATTGCATTACATTTATGGATTGATTTAGGAAGATTAGCTTATTAATAATATTGAGTCTTCTTACCCAAGAATCATTTATTTAAATTTTATTTTATGTGCCTCAGAGGTATTTAAAATTTTTTATTGTGTTTTTGTGAAGTGTAGTTTTTTATGTTGGGTTTTTTTTTTTTTTGGCTATTCTAAACATGGTTCTATCTAACTTTCTGCATTGGAAAGTTACTGACTTTTATATACTAATTTTACATTCAGCTAGTTGACTGAATTGTCTTTCTATAATAGATTTTCAAATGATTTCTTAAGCTTTTTTTTCTTTAGAATAAAATATCATCTGCTAATAATGACAATTTTACTTCCTACTTTCCAGATTCATGCATATTTCTTTGTCTGATTGCATGGGTCAGAACTTCTAGATCATTGTTCCATGATAATGGGCTTCCCTGGCGGCTCAGATGATATAGAATCCCAGGGAGACCTGGGTTCGAACCCTGGGTTGGGAAGATCCCCTAGAGAAGGAAATGGCAACCCACTCCAGTACTCTCGCCTGGAGAATCCCAGGGACAGAGGAGCCTGGCGGGCTACAGTCCACGAGGTTGCAGAGAGTCGGACACGACTGAGTGGCTGAGCATACAAGCACAGTGGACCATCTTATCACTTTCCTTAATAAGACTGCTTCTGATGTTTACAAGTGGCTACCCCCAATATCTGTCCAGATTCCTATGACCTGTGTTCATTCAACTCATGGCATTCTTTTCTTCTGTTCAACAGCGTGGTGATGGTCCCTACGCTCTGATACTAGTGCCAACAAGAGAGGTAAGCAGTCCTGGGATGTGTGCTAAGCAAGTTCTTTCAGCAATATCGTTGAATAAAATTCAAGTGTTTTGACTATTTTTCTCTCTACTGTACCAATCACCACACTCTTCCCTTTGCCAGGGAACCAGCCTTTGGTTCCTGACAAGAAGAAAAATTCAAGTAGTCTTAGAAACCAGAAGTTTTTGGTTGTGGAGAAGTGTTTCTCTGTTATCTAAAAACTAATGACATTATAGATTTCTTTTAAAAAGAAGTAAAATAATTGCATTTTTGTACATTTTTTTCTTTTACAACTTAATTAAAAATGAAAAGCGGTTGACCCTAAAAATGAACCTTTTCTTTTTTTTTAATTTTTACTTGTTTCTGAAAGTTAAGCTTTTTGATATTTTTCTTCTTTCTTGGTGGAAATCTCTCCTATCCGATTTATTTTATTTGCCTGCAGAGGCAATTTCAGATCAGGATGCATGTTTCCTATATCAAATGCCAATCACTTCCTTGCAGAAAACAGATCTCAGTGATGGAGGTTTCAGCCCAGCCTTTTGTACAGCCTGCAGTGCCCTGTCTCAGCTCCATCCAGTGAAGGAGCAGGCATGGAGCTATTTAAATTTTTACAGCAGCAACCTCGCTGCTTCCCTGGGATGCTTCATGAATACTAAACACATGGAAACTGTATCTTCCTTGGATAAAGGGATTACGTAGAGGCTTTGCTGATGTTTGTTAATGGCTATAACCTACATTTGTTTTCTCTTTCTCTGGTTTCCACTGTCCTTGTTGGTTTCGGTGTTATTTCTGCCCCCTTTTAATAAACTTGGGAAATGATCATCTCTGTCTTTAGCTGCCGCTCTTCCCCGACATAGCCTTAGGAAATAGTCATGTCACCTTTAGCACAGGCTAGCCTGTTGCGTCACCATACTGCTTCACACATACTACATTCTCTCTCTTTCCAGAGGGAGCCAGATTCAGGTCGATTCTGCTTCATTTTCTTCCATCTTTGTGCACCATAGACTGTACCTCTCTGCACGGTACTCTGGGAATTTGAGCCAGCAGAGGGAGCACAGAACACTATGTTTGTGTGTGTCCAAGAAATAGATTCTCCAAACTGACAGGTTTCAGCATCAGCCTAAGAACAAGATGTATTTCCCAAGTAGATTCTGTGTATAGGACTTTTTTTAATCCTACCTTGAGGTCCTACGTTGCATCCTTATCACTTCACACTAAATTTTTTAAAATAAATGAAAAGGAGAGGAGGGACCTTGCTCATCAGTTCTCACTTTTTCATGTTTACAGCTGGCTCTGCAAAGCTTTGATACTGTCCAGAAACTGCTTAAGGTAAGGCAAGCCACGAGTTCAGCTTTGTCTTTTTTTTCCCGACTTTTTGAGGAAAGAGAGCCCACAGTCTTTTCTTTATTTTCAAAGAGCTAGGAATCACTCCACTGTCCCTCCATCCCCTGGTTGTCTCTGCTCTCCCCAGGTACAGTTTGTAGGTTCTTATTGATCTAAACCTTATGAATCACTGATTTCTAGCTTAGTGAGTTTACTAGTGTTTCCTGGTACTTCCATTCCTATAATCTATTTATCGTAGTCACTAGCAAGCCACCTACAGAGCTTCACAGGTACAACCTTACGGTGATCCAGTGAAAGCAACTTAACAGGCTACAAGCAGGGTTTGTTTCAGAATGAGGAGAGAGAAAGCTTCCGAGTCAAAGCCTGCCAGCCCACCAAATTATAATGAGAATTGATCTCTCCTTTTCTTTCATCATGGTTGGCAATGAGGAAGCATTGTATTTGGGTTTGATCTTAACCAAAAAGGAAAAAATAAAAAAGGCAATAGACTCACTAAAATGTGTTTTCAGTTCAGGCTCTATGGGGAAAGGCAGAGAAGCTCCTTGAATCACTTAAAAAGCTCATACTCCTCTCTTGCAGCATCGGAAGCTCGTTGAATAGTTGTAATTTAAGTTAGTGCTGATAACCACAGGCCTGGCAATGCCTTGGAACTGTGTCTGCACAGTATTGCCTCCTGCATTGAGAAGCACTCCCTCCCAACTTCCTAAAGGAACAGGAATTTGCAGTTAGGTTCTGTTTTCTGTAAACGGGGCTTCACATTGATTTTGGACTGATGTCTTTCTGTAGCCATTTACCTGGATTGTGCCTGGAGTGTTAATGGGAGGAGAGAAGAGAAAATCAGAAAAGGCCAGGTAGGGAGAGTTTTGTTTGTTTTCCTTTTTCAATCTGCCCAGTCTTCCTCTTCTGTAAGACTCTGGCCCTTCTCAGCCTGGGGAGAGCCTTGTCCCAGACGGTGGTTCCTAGTCCCAGGATGTATGGACACTCGAGTCCCCGTTAGGGGTCGTTCTAAACAGTGCTATTTGTTTTAAATATTGAGGAGCCTACCAGTGGCTCCCTTTTGATGTGATCAATGACAGCTGTTTACCTTCTTAACTCGCACCCTCAACCCCTCCCATCCCCCAACATCCATAGTCCCCCTTGCTAAGGATACATCCCCTTAGACTCCCTTTTGTGACATTGGGAGTTTGGGAATTTGTTGTTTGATTTTACAAAAACAAGATTATAAACCTACATGATGCTTTACATCTTGCTTTTTATACCCAAATACATTTATTTGTAATTCTGTGTTAGAATTGGTCATGGGTGTCAGTAGAAAATTATTGTAAGAAGTACATCCCAAATTGTCTGCATTTGCTTGAAGACGTTTTTATTTTATTGTAGCCTCATGCTTAGTAGTTATGTCCAATCCTGTGTGTAATGTGTAACCAAGGAGTAGATACTAAACATGAAACTTTCAAATATTGGCTAGGATGAGATTCCATTCCACTGTAAATAACAGCAACGGTGCTGCAAATGATATGGAAGTTTTTTTTCTTTTTCTTTCACGTTTAAGAAGCTGGCTGACATGGTGCGTGCACCAGTGTGAGGACTCCTGGCTCATTCTGTTTTTTTGTGCCATTAAGTGAGACTTTTGTTTTCAAGCTTTCCTCATAGTGTTAGATAGTTGTTGGAGCTCCAGCCATTATATCTAGCTTCCTGCCATACCTCCTTCTTCTAAAGGTACTGATAGGATTTGCATGTTTCCTTTTTCCACGTATGTTATTGCTAGAACATAGGCATGTGTCCACTTAATGACAAGGGCAGCTGGAAAATGTACTCAGCTGAAAACTGTACACTTTTATTACTGTGGGCTAGTGGGATAAAGGATGTCTGGGGAGTAAGAAGTTAAATTTGTTCTACCTAGTCTATGGGGCAAGGTGGGGCACATTGCATGGAAGTTACAACAAGGATTCAATATAAGAAACCTTCCAGCCATTAGAGCACATTGGCATGGGATGACTCATTCACGTAAGGGATTCCCTGGCACAAGTGAGGTGACAATCTGGAATGTTCTAGAAAGCATCTGTGGATCAGATAAAGGGCATTGGGTTATATAGTAAAGGTTCATTTGAGACTTAAGGTTTTATGATTTTAATAAAATTTCAGCAATTACAGTTATTTTCTGCAAGATAGAGAAACTACAGAGAATAATCAGAACTTAAATACATCTTTGTATCTACTTGTTATGTTTGTCATGACTCAAACTGTGGCACCTTGGCTCTGGCCATGAATCTGTCTTCCTTCACCCTTTCGCTGTGTCTTCTGTTGATGTGGCTCTGTCAGATTTACTTTCTGTTGTGATGTATACTTTTAAACAGGCTCCGAAAAGGAATAAATATCCTTATCTCCACTCCTGGGCGCCTCGTGGATCATATAAAATCCACCAAGAACATCCATTTCCATCAGATCCGTTGGCTGATTCTGGATGAAGCAGACAGGTGAGCCCTTCTGGGAAACATGAGAGGTGAAGGGAAAGGGCTGTTTCTGGGTCTTCACTGAAACTTCTGGAGCCCTATAGCATTCCATGTATGCATGGAGATTAAAACTCCTTCCTTGAAACCACAGAATCTTGGATTTGGGTTTTGAAAAGGACCTCACGGTGATCCTCAACGCTGTGAATGCCGAGTGCCAGGAACGACAGAACGTCTTGCTGTCGGCGACGCTCACGGAAGGTGAGATGAAAAGAAACACACTGTGTTCTCATTGAAGAGGAGGGGCTAGACGTGAGCTGGCCCTCAGTTGTCTGCCTGCCTTGGTTCTCGGCCTCAAGGTGGGGGCCGGGGAGGCAAGGAGGAAGGCATCCTGAGAGGACTGCTCTCCAAAGCACATGTCCTGCGTGCCCGGCCCCCTCTCCCCGCCATCCTGACTCTCTGGTTCCTGGCATCTGGGAAGAAAGGAGAAAGAGCAGGTCCCAAGTCTAGCCACCCTCACGGGAGGGAGAGGCTGCTGGCACTCACATCGATATGGAGGTAGGAGGAGGCTTGTAGTCTCAAGAGGTTGTGATGGCGGGTGCTGCCCGCTCAGGGCAGGGCTCCTGTCCTGAAGGAGGTGACCTCTCTGCCAGCACATTTCTAATTATCATCATCCTGCATTTCTCCTAAAGACACTGTGTTGTTGTTTAGTTGCTCAGTCGTGTCTGACTCTTGCATCCCTGTGAACTGTAGCCCGTCAGGCTCTTCTGTCCTTGGGATTTTCCTGGCAAGAATACTGGAGTGGGTTGCCATTTCCTTCTCCAGGAGATCTTCCCAACCCAGAGACTGAACCCATATCTCCTTCATTGGCAGGCAGTTTCTTTACCACTGAGCCACCAGGGAAGCCCAGCTGGGACTTTTAGGTCTCTTTTTTTATTAAACCTAAAAAATACATTCCGTGAGCTCATTTCTGCCTTTCCATCCTCGTGAGATGGGGCTTCTTAGCGCGCTCGTAGATGGGAACACTGAGGCTCTACCAGGATCCCCTGCACACAGATCGCTGCACAGCACTTCAGCTCTCGTGTTCCTGTTTCACTTGGTTTACCAGCCAATGCACGTGTACCAGACACCATCCACCTGCCCCACCAGCAGTTCTCAGAGTGTGTTCTAACTATCTCTTATGTGACCATAAGAGATAATCCATGAAAAAGGATTCTATGCTCAAAGAGTGGGGGAAATGCCATATATTACCGCCTCCTCTAGGAGGTTCATGGGCATAATCACACAAGTAAAGGTCCTGACAAGGCCTGTAAACCCAGGAAGCCCCATGAAAGAATCCCAGGAAACCTTTCTATCAGGATTTCCATAATTTACTTGACCACGGAAGCCTTTCTGGGGAGTGATGGGCAGACATCTGTTGCAGTGGTCTTCCACAGGTCAGAGTTCAGAAACATTGGTGGTGTATATGGGTTTTTAGGCCCTGGGAAGAAATCAGTGGGTCCCCGGGAGACTGACAGTGGGACAGATCAGTGTTAGCATTTGGGCTCCCCATCAGGGTTTTCTTAGTAAGCCTGGATGTGTGGCGTTGGGGATGTGCGGACGTGACCGGTTGTACAGCACATTCCTGTCAGCTGTTCTGTCTTTCTCACTTTCTCTCCAAGGTGTAGCGCGGCTAGCTGACATCAGTTTACACGACCCTGTCAGCATCTCTGTCCTGGATGAAAGCCACGACCTGTCGAGCCCAGAGAGTGAAGCCTTTCTCGAAGCTTCTCCTCCACAGGCGACTGATGAGCTGGACGGCTTTGCCATCCCAGCCGGTCTCGAGCAGCATGTGGTGGTGGTCCCCAGCAAGCTGAGACTCGTCTGTCTGGCGGCCTTCATCTTGCAAAAGTGCAAGGTCGGTCTGAGGGCTGGGCCTGACCTGATCCTGAAAGGACTACAGTGTTTTTTATGTCAGGCATGGAGGGCAGTGAGCTGAGATGCACATGGAAGTTTCCCAGCTTCACTGTGGTGGCGAGCGCAGATCTTAGCAGAGATCTTCTCAGTCAGTGGTTCTAGAATTGCAGTAAGGACTCTGGTCAGTGTATTCAACTTGAGATCCGCCTCATAGACCAGTCCTAGGCTGACACTGGAGATGTCACGTGGTTGAAGCGTGCTGGATGTGAGCCAGATACATGGGCCTGTGTGCATGTGTTTAGAGGCTCATCCTATTTGTGTATTTACTGGATTCACATGATAACTTTCTCTGGTATATGGGAAAATAGTAGGTGCAAGGTCTTGATGGTGCAGCTTCTAGACTGACAGTGATCTCGGGGTCTCCACAGGGAGGGCTGTGCGTGGCAAGCCCTGAGTGAGTGAGGGAGGCCGAGCTTATGTGCAGCTTTGCTCTGAAGCGTATTTGTTTTTCTAAGATGCGGGAGGCCCGTTAGAGGTGGCAGCTATGTCATTTTCCTGTCCTGCATTCTTTGTATTAATAGCGTGGCGGGCCAGTGTTGTTTTTAAAAATAGTTCAAAGCCATCTGTCACCTTTCCAGTTCGGGGCCAGCCTGCCTGCGTGTTTTACAGAGAGATTCATTTTAGCGTCACCTGATCTTAAAAATGCGTGGTGGTGTTTTTCCCCATTTGTGTCCGTGCAGTTTGAGAGAGACCAGAAGGTGATCGTTTTCTTCTCAAGTTGCGAGCTGGTGGAGTTCCACTACACCCTCTTCCTCCAGACCCTGCTGAGCGGCTCGGGGGCCCTGGCCCCAGAGCATTTGCCATCCACCTCTACACCGTTAAAATTCCTGCGGCTGCACAGCGCCCTGGAGCAAGAGGTGAGCCCTAGCCTCCCCGGACTGGGACCCTGCTGGGCCAGGGAAGAGCGTGGCTGAAGTGGGCGACCCACTGGAGGCCACAGCAGGTGACACAGCTGTGTGCCCGGTGGGGGAGGACGTGGAGCCCCTCGTTCCCGCTCACTTCTGCCCTGGGAGCGGGTCTCTTCCACCTGAGAGCGCGCGCGGGCCGGCTTGGCCGGACTATGCCCAGCCAGCTGTTAGGCAGCAGAGCGCCGCTAAGGAGCTGGCACCAGGGAAGGCTTTTGCCTTTTTAGTGCCCAGTGTGTAATTAGGGCTTGATGTCTTCAAATTAAGAGCATTAATGGAGCTAAATTGTGGCTCCCATATGGTACTGCTGAGCGTGACTGCTGTCATTGTCAACAAGATGCAGAGCTTTCACTCGGAGCACTCGGGCTGGGAGAGGACGGGGGGCACCCGGGGCTGCGGGGGCCCCGCGTGGCGAGTAGTTTTGAGCAGGACGGAGAGTGAAACGCTCTCTTCGTCTTGGGCACTCAGGTACTTAGCTGCGCTCACTCTCATCCCACAGCTGGCCGCCAGGCCAGCCGTTCAGGGAGTCCAGCAGGGTGTAGGAGGAGGCAAGCCCCGGAGCTGTGGCAGGGAGGACACACAGGGCCTGGGAGAGGGGCCAGCTCGCCCCAGCGGGGAGGCTACCAGGCAGCTGAGCAGGCGAGAGGGCTCGAAAGAGAGCCCCGAGGGGAGCGGCGGCTTGACCAGAGCCGCCTTAAAAAGGCGGAGCGCTCTTAGAGCCAGAGAAGGCCATCACGCCCAGCCCTTCTTTTTGCTATTGCTGTTTTTGTTTCAATGATTAAGGGAATGGAGGCTGAGAAAAATGAAGTTACTCAAGGTCACTCAAGGACACAGTTTCCTAACCCAGGACTATGCCAAGTGTCCTGAACGTTCCAGCCTTAATGAGTTTTGTAAACCCTTGAGTTTTACCTCCAGCTTCCCCAGTTCAGTTGAGTTTGCTGATTTCATAATGTAATGCTATTTATGGTTTGTTTTTTAACTCGGTTTACTAGTCCTCTAGGTCTCCTTTCTCCAGAGCCATCCTGCAGAGAAGGTGTGAGCATAAAGAAGAAGCTGAATGTGGGCTCAGGAGGATCTAGGGACTTGCAGAGGTCAGCAGAAGACCCTGCAGTTAGGGTGTTTCAGACAGTGCCTCTCACAGGGTAGCAGGGCGTTTACAGCTGTGTGCGCTGGGGCAGGCTGCCTGTGCTCTGGGCCTGACTGCTGTTCACTGGCTGTGTGACCTCAGGGAAGCATCTAACCTCTCTGTGCTCAGTGTCCAGGCCTCTAAAGTGGAGCGAACAGTAGTACAGACTTCTGGAGTTGTGGCAGTTCACTGAGTTAGTGCAGATTGAGTGCTCAGTACATGTCAGGGGCCATCCTTGTTGTTATTTCTCTTTCAGAAAAAGTAATTTTTTCATCATTTAATAATTGCTAGTATTTTACTTGCGTTGTCCTGTTTGTTAGGTGTTTAGCCATCACACCCTCCCTGTGAGATGGGTAGGAAGTCGAAGGGAGGGTCTCTGCATTTCGTTTTCTAAACACAAGTGAAGTGTCTTGTCCCGAGGCCTAAGCTAAAACCAGGCCCATCACATCTTCCTGTTGTGATGGTTACCCTGTTACCCTAGTTACCCTGCCCACTGCTCCACGTGATCTCAGTGTGGTCTCAGAGTGGCCGACTCAACGCTTTACAAGCATCAGAGGGGCTGCTGTTGAAAGAGTTGTCGCCTCATGGCCGTGCTGAATCCTCAGGAGTCTGGTCGTTGTATTCCTTACTCCACGTCTGCATACAGCATGTCCTGCCTTTAAGGTGTTTCATAGGCTCTTAGGAACTTTTTTGGTTTTGACTCCACAGAGAAGCCATGAACTCCCAGGGTTCAGAAACCAGTTCAGCCCTTTACCAACAGTGGATGCACATGCCTTGGGCAAGTTCCTTAGCCTCTTATGCCTCAGTTTCTCCCCCTGGCACGGCAGGTGGTGGCAGTGCCTGCTCCTCAGGCTTCTGTGCGGATTGGGCACGTGCAGGCCAGCTCTGGTACCTGGGAGTCCTCAGTAGGCACCCTCAGAGGGAATCTCATGATGTTGCCCGGTGTGTGGTTTGTTTTGAGAGGTGGGATGATTTCATTTTCTTCTTTTACTTGAAATATTTTTCTCCAGTTAAGACATATGGTTCTTAACAAGTTTACAATCTTTTTTAAAATAAATTTTTTAAAAAAATTGCTCTGTAGGAAAGGTTGGTTGCTCTTCATCCTCCAGACCACCTGTAGAAAAGGTGTTAGAATAAATTCTGAGTTGGGACCCGCAAGGGCAGGCACTTGCCTTTGGCACCCCTTCTCTTAGTGTTGGCCATCTCGGGAGGCTGTGCCCTCTCCCTGTGTTATCTTAGTGAAATGTGCTGCCCTTTATTATTTGCCTCTGTCTGGAAGAAGCCTAGTGCTGTAAGAACAGGGTCTTGTTGGATGATATGAAGAATCCACTTCTTCCTCTTCCTTGGCAAAACCTTTCTGTGCCTAGAAGTGGTTACAGTAGTAGGAAGTTGGGAGACTCATAAGAATCTAAGCCCACCACCTAGCTGGCATTGAGCTGAGTTATAAAGACCCTATTTTTTCTTGTTTTTGCAGGAAAGAACAGCAGTGTTTCAAGATTTCATGCATTCCAGAACAGGCATTCTTTTTTGCACGGTATGTATCGCTCTGTGCTCTGTGGGAAGGTTGAAAATCGGTGGTGGTGGTGGTGGTTGCAATTTTTTGCCTCTGGACGGCTTGCCTTGCAGTCAGCAGCCCTGCAGGGAGCAGGGGTCCCCGGGCCGCTTGGCATGCTGGTCTCCATGCACTCCTGGTTTGTCACCCAACTGCCACGGGTAGCGGGCTGCCACCGCCCAGAAGACTTGGCGATTTGCTCACTAATGGTGGCAGCTGTTGGTCTGAAAATGTGTGAATCTTGGTGATTTCTCTCCACCAAGAACTTGTAAATTACAGCTATCGGGAGTAATTAGAGCTGAGAAAGCCTTTTCACAACAAAATCACTCTGCTTGCCTCTGCTCACCTTTTCTTAAAGGAAAATAGACGCGCTTGGACAGATTCTGTGCGCTCTTGTTTAAACCTACCATTTGCCCTACAGTTTTCAGAGCCATTTCACTCGGCCTCTCCAGCACTGCTCTGACCTTTTACCTGCACATCTCTTGTGCTCTTTCAAGCTTAGAAACACACTTTCAACGTCCCCGCTTCTCCAGGGACTCACTTCACCAAAGGTGCTGCTCGCTCCCAAGATTAAAATGCCTTCCACGTGTGTGCCATCTCAGAAGATGTAACTTAATCCCCAGCAGTTGATTGAGAAATCCCTATCTATACAGTAATGAAATCTCACCGTAGATTTAGTAGCCCTGTGAACAAGTACGAGGTAGAAACAAAGACAGTTGGCTGTTTGAAGGCCTCTCTAGGCCTCACTTAATGCAGTTACTTTTTAAGGAACCCTTATTCTCTATTTAGTTTTGAAGGTAATAGAGATGGTTTTCTTTCTAAATTGAGAGTTTATGGGTGAGTACAACTTTGTTACTTGTGTGTATGTACATATGATCATCTACAAGACAGTCCTGCCTGGTCACCTACTGACGATTTTCGTGTGTGTGTGTGTGCCCAGCAGTGGTTCCGCTGGCCCTGGTGATTCAGATCGTAGAGCAGCAATTGCTGGAACACTTGCCTCCAGAGGAGGTCTGAGTCTGGCCAAGTAGCCCGTGTCTTTATGATCCCCATCAAGTCAGATGATTGTGTTTATCCTAAACCATCTTTACATGCCCGGTGTAAAGAGAAGATGGGTTCAGACAATCTACTCGACATAGGAATTTGTCAGGAATCCTACGTCCGTTGACACTTCTGGAGCCTGAACCCTTCCCTTCCCCTCTGTCCCCACTTTCCTCTTACTCCGCATCCTTCAGCCAAACAGGCCCCTCTCTCAGCTCCTTCTGGCCTCAGGGCTCTAGTACATGAATTCCCTCCTCCTGGGACACCCCACCCTTACTTAGACTCACCCCATCTTAGGTCTCAGCTTCATTGTCATTTCTTCTGCTGTGCTTCTCAGTGATGCTCCTTTCAGCTGGTCTTGGTCTTCCCACCGAACCACAAGCTAGTGAAGACCGGGACTGTGTTCTGTTTCCAATCCCATCCCAGCGTCTGGCACAGAGCAGTGTGCAGTAGGCACCGGTATTTGTGGGTTAAATGCATAGATACCTGGGGATCAGTGTTGAGAACCACTGATATATGTCTTTTTCTAAAGACTGAGGCTGACATTAATATACTTGTTGATTAGGGAATACTACTCAGCCATAACAGAATGAAATCATCCATTCGCAGCAATATGGGTGGGCCTAGAGATGATCATTCTAAGTGAAATAAGCAGACCGAGACAGACAGATATCATATGATGTCACTTATGTGTGGGATCTGAAATACGATACAAATGGACTTACTTACAAAACAGAAACAGACTCACAGAAATAGAAAACAGGCTTATGGTTATCAAAAGGGAATGGGGGAGGGATAAAATAGGAGTTTGGGATTAGCAGATACAAACTATATATGTAAAATAGATGAACAACAAGTTCTTACTATATAGCATAGGGACCTATATTCAGTTTCCTGTAATAAACCATAATGGAAAATAATATGAGAAAGAATATATGTGTGTATACACACACACACACACACACACACACACACATATATAAACTGAATTACTTTGCTCTACACCAGAAACTAATACAACATTGTAAGTCAACTGTACCTCAATAAAAAAATAAATAAAAATTCAGTTTTACCCATGGGATTCTCATAAACATTCCTATAAAGAATTGCTTGTGACATTTTTTTTTTAAAGTGCTCATTGAGAATAAGTTTACTTTCTCATATCCATGGTGTTATCTGAAGAGTAAACGTTGGAGATCACGTATGTTAAAACAGAAGGCAGCAAGAACCCATGTGTTGTAGTTTGGGTTAGGACCAGAACAAAGTGCTTTCTTTGACCCTTAAGATGCTGGAAATGTCCCTGGTAGGAAATTGTCAAGTCTCCCAAGGTAAGCAGATGTGACCCTGTTTTTCACAGATGTGGGTGAGCTCCAGGTCTCAAAGAAAACTCCAGGTATTTGAAGTTTAGTTTTTGGTTTTTGTCTTTTTCCAGTAGCTCTATGGAAGCAAAGATCATTTTCTGAAATGCAACTCTCAGTGGGGTCAAAAGTACTTGATGGCTTTCCTTGTTCAGCCTAGCTGCTACCTGCAAGCAGGTGATGTCAGCTAGATGATGAGCACTGTTGACTTGGCAATGTGTGGCACCCCACACCTCTGCCCCCTGCCAGGCCCCAGTGCCATGTGAAAAGCACCCTCTTGCCATCGTCCGATTTCTCTAAGACCCTGAGTGTTCATTTGCTGGTCCAGGTCACATCCAGTATGCTGAGCCTCTGCCAGTCTCTTTTTTATTCTGCTTGAAGAAATGACTGGAAAAGAGCCGGGTGGGGGCTTGTTCCTGTCCATTTCTAAGCCAGGATACCAGCCCAGGTCCCTGATGATATGAAGTTCTTCATTCCTGCTCGGTCTTCCTCCGTCTTTTGCGTGCGGTCGCTGTGGCCCGAAACTTGGGGTGTCTGAGACTCACTGGTTGTGATAGGTGGTGCCTGGGTTGGGGAAGCATTGTCACTGCATCTTTGGCAGCCATCTGTTGCTTGCCTGGCTCTGGCCGCTCTCTGGGAGCCTCCCGGGTGCTAATGAGCAGTGGGGCCACAGAGGACAAGGCAGATGGAGACTCGCATCTTTGCATAAAGGGGACCCATGTTGTTAACTGTTGCATGGAGACTTTCTGCCTTTGTACCGTCTCTTTTGCCATTTTGATTTTTCCCAAGATTCTTTTAACAAGGCCAGAAGACTGAATGTCTTGTGTGGGAAGTTCGGAATTGTGTAACCACACAAAAGCTCACAATTCTGCTATCTCCTTTTCTTCTAGAAAGTACCTTCCTGCTCCCCATTCTCCTCCATTGTATTTTTTCTGTGATGAAGGAAGTTAAGGGTGTGCGTGTCTGTGTGTTTAATTATAAACATCTTAAAAGCAAGGGCTGTCTTAATTTCATGAAGTCTTTTGGGACCTGATACATGACTATATAACATGAGTTCTCGGTACACATGTTTGACCACAGTGGTGTGGAGTCTGGGCAGATGTGAAAGGATACTTGGGCAGGGGAGACCAGTCTAGGAAAGCAGAGTTCTTACATACTTGGAATGTAATTCTGTGTAGTTTTCTAGCTTTGTCTAGAAGACTGGATCTAAAGAAGCCAGGGGAAGGAGGGAGCAAAGCACTAGCAGGAAGGAGCCATTTGGAAGTTCAGAGCCCACTTTCCTCAGTGGGGTTAAGAAATCAGAGGAACCAGACAGAGGAGATGGCTTATCTTCATGCTAATTCCTTTGGCTCATAGTGAAGCACTTACCCAAAGCCAGAGGTTTTGAACATCACTGTTAAATTGAGCGGTTGGGAAAGAGAAACCCCAGTAGGTGACTGCAGTGTGGTATTTCCAGGCTCCTTCTGGTTTTAGGGCTGGTGGGTGGCCCTCTGTGGTTGTCCCTAGTGGTACCCAGTGATGCCTCTCCCCGCCGCCCGCCAACCCCTGCACAAGGACAGGCACTTTCGGGTCCACCTGCGTCCGCTGGCTGAGCCTCTGTTGGAATGTGTGTGGTTGTCCACACATGCCTTGTTTTTCAGAAGACACCTAAAGTGCCCGTGCTGCTCTCCTTCACCTGCTCTCTCTCTTTTTTCTTGAATCACACCATCAGGTCTCTGCACTTCTTAATTTCCTTTTCTCCTGGGGAATTTCTGCCGTGCCAGGTGGCCGGGAGACAAAGGATGCTTACACGCATCCCAAGAATGTACCTTCAGTGCCCCCCAAAATGGAGACTTTCTGGTTTTCTCTGGCCTATGCCTTTTAAGTGAAGTTTATCTTTTCCTCTCGTATTTCATCCCTGTTCATGGCGAGATCATTTGGAGATGGTCGGCTGTTGACTCAGTTACGCTAACTCATGTTGCCAGATTTCTGGCGGCTCTAGCCAAGCTCTCGCGCCTCTGACAGCTTCTGCATGCTCTCCTTCCCCCTCTGATTACGCAGCCCAATCTGTCACCCGGACGACGGGGGCCCGGACCCCGCTGATGGCTTTCCACACACGGCAGTAATGACTTCTGGCAGGCCGGGAAGGCGGCAGAGGCGAATTTGCTGCGTCCCTTGCTCAGAGAGCCACAGGCCCCCTCTCCCTGTTAGTAAAAGCACTTTGTGAGGTTCTTGGGTAAATAAATGAGTCATTTTAATCCAACTGACAGGCTGGCACCTGAGCAAGCTGCCTTCCATCTGTACCCCTCGGTCTTGTGGAGGCAGCCAATTGTCAGCCCACGGCCTTCAAGGCCTCGCCCGCAAGTGTCTTTCAGAACTGACTTCAGCGATTCTTTCATTTGAATTAGGTTAAAGGAATACAGGTGGGTTGGATCTTAAGTTCTGAGGGCGGGCACAGAACCGGAGTTTCAGCTGCGTCTTGTGCAGGTCAGAGTCCTCTGGTCTGGTCCTGCTGGTTGACAGCGTCCGGGAGGATGGAGCCGTCTCCCTCTGTGGTCTTTTGCCTGCATGGGGTGATGGGCTGAGAGCGGGGAAGAGAACCCA